GGATGAAGTTAAAGGTGTTTTAAAATTGAATACAATAAATCCTTTTTAAAATATTCATTTCACATACCAACCACGGTTCTCTCTCCCTTCCTTCCTCCCCCTTCCCCGCCTCCCTTCAACCCATCCTCGTAAAGGGCAAGGCCTCCCATGGCGAGTTGACAAAGCCTGGCACATTCAGTTGAGACAGGGCCAAGCTTCCCCCTCCACAAACATCTAGGCTGAGCAAGGCATCCCACTATATGGAAAGGGCTTCAAAAAGCCAGCTCATGCACTAGGGATAGATCCTGGTCCCACTGCCAGAAATCCCACAGACAGACCAGGCTACAAAACTGTAGCCCACGTGCAGAGAGCCTGGTTCAGTTCCATGCAGGCTCCAATATTCTCTCTCTCTCTCTCTCTCTCTCTCTCTCTCTCTCTCTCTCTCTCTCTCTCTCTCTCTCTCTCTACCTCTCTCTCTCTCTCCTCTCCTCTCCTCTCCTGTGTGTGTGTGTGTGTGTCCGCACGTGCAGGTGCTGTGAGACCAAAAGAGGGTATTAGAGCTGGAGTGACAGGTGACTGTGATCTTGTAAATACTGGGAACTGAACTTGGGTCCTCTGGAAGAGCAGTAAGTGCTGTTAACCACTAAGATATCTCTCTATCCCATTTCCTCTTTATTATAAAAGGGGTGCTTTTGTGAGAATTTCATACGTGACTACTGCATTCATACCATCTCCACCCCTCCCAAAAAGTCCTTTTCTAAGTAAACTTTTGAGGACCATGTTAATCGAACTCCATCACTGTCAGGACTCAGAAGAAACTGGTGAGAGAAGTTTTGCAGAGTTAACTGAGAGTTGTCACCAGGTTCACATACTGTGTGTCACAATGAGTGGAGAGGGGAGGAACAAAGGTACAACTCCTTAAGTATTTGAGTTACAGCAAGAAGAAAGACAGTCCATGGCTCACTGAGTTCCAACACAACTTTTAAAATTCCATACATCGCCAGGCGGTGGTGGCACACACCTTTAGTCCCAGCACTGGGGAGGCAGAAGCAGCTTGACTGCTCTGAGTTTGGGATCATCCTGATCTACATAGCGAGACCCTGCTTCAAAAACTAAAACCAAAAAAATTCATATGAATTGCATTTTCCTTCAAGTTGAACTTTTTAACATACATAGTCATAGCCATACACAGTCTAGGGTTTTCTACATTTTTTTCTAGTAATAAGTGAGTGATGCAGATGTTTGTAAGAGAAATATTTTCCCGTAGTACTTATAAAGTTATGAAGCCTGATAAAGTTTTTCAAATTATCGTTTAGTGCTTCATATTAATTAGGTCTACTTTAAGTGCCTCTATTTTTGAGGTCATAATTTAACTACAATTTTTTTGTGGGCACTCCAGATCCAAACTAGAACCCTGGCTTCATATCTAACAACAACTCTAGCACAGAGTTAAGAGACAAGTCCTAAAGTCAGGGTTCTAATGCCATCAGGTAAGCTTCTTAGCTGTGTGAGGTTCAGCAAGTGTATTTACCCCTCTGTGCCTCAATTTTCTTATTGTGTGTCACACATTGATAGTAATTGTGTTTCAATGAACCAGTCAACAGTAAAAGTCTGGCACCTGGAAAATGTCCCCAAATTATAGTGATTATTATCATCAGCCATCGCAGTACCAACAGACTCATGCCCAGTGATTTCTGCAGGAATGGTTGGTGCTCCTAGCTGATTCTGACTCTTAGAGAGTCATGTGGCCTTTGGTGAGTTCTGCTACCAGGACACAATGTAATATATAAGTAGCCTAAAACTATTTGGGAGTTGGAGACTATTAGAAGTTCTGCTAGGGAATGCTTTCTGTGAGGCTGCTTATCATATTTTATTGGCTTGCATTTGCTTTGAACAAATGAGTGATCTTTGAGGGGATAGATGGAAGAAGGAATAGACACGTGGTTTTCTGGGGCCTTAGGGTTCTGTATGGTGCAGGGTCGTACTGGCAATGTTGGTGACAAGAAAATATCCCTTCAATAGCACAGGGCTGGGCAGGGGTGTGTGTGTTTGTGTGTGTGTGTGTTGAAAAGTTGTTCCTAAAGCTCATATGTGAAGTATCTAGAATAAAGCAAAGGAAATTTTTAAAAGAGTAAAGTCGAAGGGCTTTCATTTTTCTCATCCACAGCTTATAAGGCTACAGTCAAGACAGTGTGATACTGACATATTAAGTATACCGATTGGTGGAACAAAATTCAGAGTCCAGAGATCTTCATGGTTTTGTTCAATTGATATTTAAAATAAAAGAGCCAATGCAATTCACTTGGGGAAAGAAAGCATTTCTGGGTTGAGGGGATGGCTTGGCCATTAAACATTTGTTTTTAAGTATGAAGACCTGAATTCAGGCTTCAGAAACCATGTGTAAATACCCAGTCTGGTGGTACGCATTTGTAATTCCAGTGAGGAGATAAGGCAGGGGGACTTGCTGGTTGACTAGCCAGTCTAGCCTACTAGGTGAGCTTCTGATCAGTGCGAATCCCTACCTCAGAGGAAGTGGAGGTTGTCCCAATGACACGAAGCTGTCATCTAGTTTACACACACACACACACACACACACACACACACACACACACACACACATTCACATGCATGCACACACACACATTTGAAAAAGAAAGAATAGCACTTCTAACAAATGATGCTAAAACAGTTGGATCTTCACAAGATGAATTTGAATATTTGTCTTATAGCATGTGTAAAGATCAACTCAACAGACTTAAACTGTAAGTGAAGAAACAATAAAGCTCTTAGAATAACACACAGAAGAAAACCTGTGAGGCCTCAGAATAGCTTAAGTAGTTCCTAAAAGAAAAACACTGGACCGATTTTTACCTCATCAAAATACACAAAGTCTGCATTTCAACATATAGAAGGAAGAAAATGAAAGGACAGAGAGACCCGGGAACATTTTCAAAACTCATATTTAAAAAGATCCTGTGCCCAGGTTCTTTGAAAGAACACATACCCATGGCATCCTTAACCAGAAGACAAAAACCATTTAAGATAGTAAAGTGTCTGAACAGAAATTTCACGCCCCACTACCACCACACGAAACCATGTTGATGGCTCCTAAACATTTGAAGAGATGGCCGTGTCACCAGCCATGAGGGAAAGGTAGATTAAAACCATAGTGGGATGCTGTTATACCCACTACAATGGTTATACTGAAAAAAAGTTAGCAAATCTTGGCATGGAGATGGAGGAATGGGAACCACTATATGTGCTGGAGGGATTGTCAAGTACTGCATTCACTTTAAAAATAATTTGACAATTCCTTAAAAAGTGAAACATACATTTTATATTATCTAGGAATTTTAAGCATTTACCCAAAAGAAATAAAAACAGAATCATATACAAATGTTCATAGTACTTTTATTCACAACAATCAAAATAAGAATAGCAAAATGCCCAGCAATAAATTGACATGGCCAGCTAGTAACAGCAGAAAGGAGCTGATACGTGCTGTGAGCTGAATGTCTGCCTTTCTGAAAGAGGCTAGCCACAAGAGACCAAATCACACATGATTCTATTGAGAGAAAATAGCCAGAAAATGCCCATCTAAAGAGGCAGTACATGTGTGGATGCCGTGTGTGTGTGTGTGTGTGTGTGTGTGTGTGTGTGTGTGTGTGTGTAGAATAACAGTAAGTATGAGGGACCTATGTAGGTTTCATGGAGATGATTGTACAAGTTGGTAAATTTTACAAAAAATCATTGTATTGTCCACTTTGGAAGAAAGCAACAAGGCTGTTTGGATATGCTAATAACTAACTGTGTGATGTCAGACACAGCTAACTTCTTGACTCCAGTTTCCAGTCACTAAAATTGGGAAAAATAAGAAGTCACTAAATATAAAGCCACAGCAGTGCAATCGCTATGGTGTATGGACCGAGTTCATAGCACAGCTTTGGCTATAGGAAGACCTTGGTAGGCGCTAATTCTACTGAACCTATTAAGACCCAATGCTAGTTTAACTCAGTTCAGATCTGGAAAAGGATTTGAACTGCAGTGTATAGGGAACATGTCTAGACTTGTGGAAACTAATTCTGGGATCCTGAGGGTCTACATATGCACATGGCCTTTCACAGCCGTCTTTGGCTTGGAGCATCAGAGCGTCCAAGACAAGGCTGTTGCCTCATGGCAGCATTAGTAATGGAGGCGTCGCCTTGAAGCCTGTAACACGGAAGCAACTGGCTATTTCCACAAAGGTCCAGCAGGTGTTTCGGTCACAACTACTATCATCCGGGGCCAGGCAATTTGGTGGCACGGAAGACTGGGCTCTTCCCATCTATGAGGCATTGAAATGTTGCCTTCATGAGACAGGAAAATCCTAAAGCTGTGTAGATGAACGGGCAAGGAAGGTTACCCAGGCAAGGGCTATCACTTGAGGAAAACCCCAGAAGCAGCAGGGAGCTTGCTGACTTGATGCTAGTGTTGCTATGGAGAGCAGAAGGAAAGGAACCAAGGGGCAGGGTCCCTGGAGAAGTTTCACATGCCTCAATGAAGCTTTTTCTTGAGACAAGCTATGGAGAACTCAGAACAGGCAGTAGGACAAGCTCAGGGTCCTTGTTTAGCCCTAAAGGCGCCTATACGCCCCATTAATCCTAGATGTTGTGGCCTGGGGTACGCATTCAGCCGAAAGGGCAGCTGTTCCTTGAACCACATAACCAAGCTTGTGCCCAGTTGAGAAACTGCCTCCCTGCTACTCCGAAGGGAATAAAAGGCATGAAGTGGTGGCTGAGAGCCTGTGTGTGGGGCTGGACCTCAGAAAAGGAGAGGGCTGGTAAATGTTTCATAAACTTCACTCTGGGCTCCTGTCCTGGCTGAGAGCCCATTAATAAGCCCAGGCTGCAGAGGGGCAGGTGCTGTGCTGGTTTCTATAGCATCGCCCCCGGGAAGGAGCCACGGCAAGCTGAGAGAGGCAGGAGGGGCTGGAGCTGGTCTCCGATGATGCTGCAGCTGCTGCTGGTCTCAGGTCCCCTTGAGCACTGGAGCACACTTTAGCCTCTCCAGCAGCAGCCTGGGAGACAGGCTGTGCTCAGTCTGAGCGCGCCTGCCTGAGACAGCAGGCTGCTTGCTGTTCAGCCTGTAGCTGTTGCAAGGGGCTGGGTTCCTAGCCAGCACCCCCCCCCCCCCGACTCTCAGCCTTGTTTATTGTGGAGCAAGAAGAGAGGGTTTTCTCTTGTTGGAACACCTGGGCTGGTTTACCTTCTTCTTGATTTTAAGTAGTTCCCCCCCATGAGAACTGAATTTCGAGTGTTTCTCAAGGACAAACAGTGCCCCTGAGCTGGAGATGAGCCAGGAGGCCAGCTCCTGAGGCTGTCTGCTAAGGGCTCCGAGTCCCCCACCCCATTCAAAATGCCATTTAAAGCATTCGATACCTTCAAAGAGAAAATTCTGAAACCTGGGAAGGAAGGAGTGAAGAACGCCGTAGGAGATTCGCTGGGAATCTTACAAAGGTAAACTCTGAACTCAAACTTCAGGTTCATTTCTGAGTATCCTCATACTGCCAATGTCTGGGGCATTTTGAATCATGTTTATAGAAGCGCATTTTAAGGGGGGGTGGTCAGGTTAGATGGTTTTTGGAGTATCTTCTAGAACCAAGTTTATACCTGGAGACAAAATCATCAAAAAGTCCTGGGTCTTGCCTAGCATGCACAAGTCCTGGGTTCAATCCTCAACACCAGGATAAGGGTGGGAGTGTTAGCTCACATTAGGAAAATACCAAGACAAGCACTCTGTTTATTTGTCAAGACTAGAACTCACGCTTTGTGGTACTGTTATACATGCTATGCTTGTCATCGAATCAGAAAGCATTTTCGGGGGCAGGATTTCATGTCAGTTCAGTAGTAATGATATAGTTGGGCTTTGAGCTGAAATAACTTGAGATATTCACTATGATAGTCAAATATTTTCAGTAGTTTTTTTCTTCTAGCTTTAAAGACAAAATACACAATACAAAGTATATGACGTGGTTCTTTATGAGGTCATTCTCAAAAAGGAGAGTGGTTGCAAGGTAGCTTGAAGATGGAAACTTAAAACATTAGACAGAAAATCATGTGTAGGGGCAGCAGGAAAATCCAGACTGTCAGTGAATTCAAAGAGATTTCGGTCCATGCACAAAATAAATAATTTAGTGTGAAATATATTCCTAATAGCAGGAGAGTTTGCCACGTATGAGTGACCTGGTATCACATTTTAATTTGTTCATGTTTTAGACAATAGTAAATGTCTTCTCGGGTGTTGTGGATGAATTCATCAGTAGCCCATATGTGCATAGTGACATGGTTATTTTATTACTCGATTATGGGAAATGTGAATAATAGCCTTGATGTGCTTTTTGTGTGTTTGAATGATCATTTCTAATCCTAGTGTGAAAAATGTGATTTGGCTTTTCCTTTTAACGTAAATGTGGAAGCATTAGTGCCTATGAAGGCCAGTTCTTGGTAGTCTGGATGATGCCTGAGATTCTTCCCCTCTCTCATATTTTATGCCCCTATATTCCTCTTGGTGCTGAGTTTTTAATTGTGTCTCTCCACACAGTGTTCATCCTAGAAGGGGATGGGGTCAGCGACCTTCTTACTTCAGTAATTAAAACAGAAAGGCTTCCCTCTGAGATGCCGGATCATCATGTGCTGCTGATAACACACGAACCAGCCAAATACAGGCAATGATTATAATATTTTTAAAATGAGTGTTTCGTCCCTCTGCATGGTCTCTCTCCAGGTAGCATCTTATTGTGGTGGCACTCACTTGATTGCAAATGTGAAAAGAAAGCACACGGTGTAATGGGCTTATCTGAGGGGTACCGAAGAGGTCTGGCCGTGTGAGGAATGAAAACCCTGGCTTTGGGCCGGGCTCACCACGGTTGGCACACCCTCTACTGAGTTTGTGAAGACTTGACAAAGGGCACTTAGTCACCAGAAATGATAACTCTGAACCTCAGTTAAGCGGTTACTAACCCATTCCTCCCATTATTCCTTTCTTTCCATGAGTGACGTGTGGTCAGATTTTGTCCTCAATTATTATACATTGGATTTCATCAAAACAAAGGAAGGTGTTTGTTTCCCATCTTATTATAAACATATGTAATCTTAAGCAATTTTCCACTGATTGTTTTTTATTTGAAAATTTATCATTTTTAAAAAATAGGAAATGTCTATCCTAAGAGATGTTTCTACACTTTGGCTGGATGATGTGTACAAAGAGAACTTGGTGTACCAAGTCAGCTGGCTCAGGTTCATAACTGTATTAGTAACTTACAAGTCATACAGCCTTAATGGGAAATGGAACTGTGTATCTGAGGCTCTTTTTTTCCCCATTTTTTAAAATTTAAATTAGAAACAAGCTTGTTTCACATGTCAATCCCAGCTCCCTTTCGCTCCCCTCCTCCCCTGACCTCCACCAGGTCACCCATTCCCCCTCCCAATCCCCACTCCAATCCCCAGAGAGGGTGAGGCCCTCCATGGAGGATCTCCAGAGTCTGTCATTTCATCCAGGGCAGGGCCTAGGCCCTCCCCCAAGAGTCCAGGCTGAGAGAGCATCCCTCATTGTGGCATAGGCACCCAAAGTCCATTTGTACGCCAGGGATAAATACTACCCAAGGCCCCATAGATTACCTAGGCCTCCTCACTGACACCCACATTCAGAGGGTCTGGATCAGTCCCATGATGACCTCCCAGTCATCAGTCTGGGGTCCAAGAGCTCCCCCTTGTTCAGGTCAGCTGTTTCTGTGGGTTGACCCCTTTGCTCATTAGTCTTCCCTCTCTGTCACTGGATTCCAGGAGTTCAGTTTAGTGTTTAGCTGCCTCTGCTTCCATCAGTCGCTGGATGAAGGTTCTGTTTCCCAGACTGTCTGGCAGTTGGGTTGTATGCTGGCACTCTCCTGATTCATGTCTAAAATCCATAAATGAGTGAGTACATACCATGTTTCTCTTTTTGTGACTGGTTACCTCACTTAGGATGGTTTCTTACAGTGCCATCCATTTGCCTGCAAATTTCAAGATTCCATTGTTTTTTTTTCTGATGAATAGTACTCCATTGTGTAAATATACCACATTTTCTCTATCCACTCTTCAGTTGAGGGACATCTAGGTTGCTTCCAGGGTCTAGCTATTACATATAATGCTGCTATGAACATAGTGGAACAGACATCCTTGTTGTATGAATGTGCATCTTTTGGGTATATGCCTAAGAGTGGAATTGCTGGGTCTTGTGGTAGACTGATTCCAGTTTTTCCTGAGGAATCGCTATACTGATCTACAAAGTGGCTGTATGAGTTGGCACTCCCACCAGCAGTGGAGGAGTGTTCCCCTTTCTCCACATCCTCTCCAGCATCTGAGGCTCTTAGATCAGCACCTGGAACAGCGGTTCTCAGCATTCCTCCTGCAACCTTTTAAAACAGTTTCTCATATGGTAGCGAACCCAGCCATAAAATTATTTCATTGCTGCTTCATAAGTGTAATTTGTTACTGTTATAAGTCATAATGTAAATATTTGCTATGCTACCCCCAAAGGGGTTGCAGTTCATAGGTTGAGAACTACTGGCCTGGAGACTTGTACCACAGGACAGCTAGCTTAATGTTAGGACACTGCCACTGCTGACATAATATGGGACGCTTAATGTTAGGACACTGCCACTGCTGACATAATATGGGACACTTAATGTTAGGACACTGCCACTGCTGACATCATAATATTGGACACTTAATGTTAGGACACTGCCACTGCTGACATCATAATATGGGACACTTAATGTTAGGACACTGCCACTGCTGACATCATAATATGGGACACTTAATGTTAGGACACTGCCACTGCTGACATCATAATATGGGACGCTTAATGTTAGGACACTGCCACTGCTGACATCATAATATGGGACACTTAATGTTAGGACACTGCCACTGCTGACATCATAATATGGGACGCTTAATGTTAGGACACTGCCACTGCTGACATCATAATATGGGACGCTTAATGTTAGGACACTGCCACTGCTGACATCATAATATGGGACGCTTAATGTTAGGACACTGCCACTGCTGACATCATAATATGGGACGCTTAATGTTAGGACACTGCCACTGCTGACATCATAATATGGGACGCTTAATGTTAGGACACTGCCACTGCTGACATCATAATATGGGACGCTTAATGTTAGGACACTGCCATTGCTAACATAATATGGGATGAGTTTAGAATAAACAAACCAAATCCAAGATTCAATGCGTTCATAGGTGAACCTTAGGTGGAAATGGCTGGCAGGGAAAAGAAGGAAAGACAATACCTGAACAGCAGACCCTCAGCGTTCGTGGTCTTTGTGTAAGAATTACCCAGACCAGCTCTACCACAAGTCTATAAGATGATTGTATGCAAAGTGTCCCGCCAAGAGTCTGGCATACAAAGGTTTTTTTCCTCCTTTTCTTGTTGCTTTTCACATAAAACCAGGCAATAGCATCCAAGCTTAATAGCATCCAAGCTTAATAATAAAACAAAGGGTGAACTGTTTTCTGTTTGCAAGGAAGGGCATTGGGAAGGTAGAAGCCCGGCTGTTAACGCCACAGGGGAAGGGAGTTATAGGCACAGTTTTGTTATAATATTTAAGATGGAGAGTGCCATCTCAATGGAATTATTGAGATGTTTTTAAATCATGGACTGCTCCTTCTGGTTAGGGGAGTGGCCGCCAGGCAGGGAAGCCTTTGAGAGTTCACGTATGGGGTTGATTACAGGCAGGAATCATTAGCGCTTCCTGGAGAAGAAGCAGCGGAATTGCTCAGCTGAAGGCGCAATAATAGTTTAGAAGTGAGGAGTGGACGAAGATGCCTGCTCTTATAGTGGAGCCTTGGAGTGTGTAGTTGACACAGAAGGCACTGAACTTGGAATGCATGCCCCAAAATTAGCATGCAAATTTGTTCAGCTTCAGTGACAATGAAGACGTCCCATGGTTGCTCATCTATAAAAATATAATTATGGCAAGTGCATACCATATTCCAGACACTGTAATTTATTTAATACTATTAAAAACACCATGAAGAGGAGACTACTATCGTTGCAATTTTCAAAACACAGAGAGGTTGAGTGAGTTGTCTGAGGTCACACAGCTTACAGGTGCAGCTTGGGCTTCAAACCATAAGTTAGAACCAAATTATTTTTGCTACCTTATTTTTGGTTTTTCGAGACAGGGTTTCTCTGTGTAGACCTAGCTGTCCTGGAACTAGATCTTGTAGACTAGGCTGGCCTTGAACTCACAGAGATCCAACTGCATCTGCCTCCTGAGTGCTGGGAGTAAAGGTGTGCGCCACCACCGACACCTTATTTTTAACTAACACATGATAATTTTGCATATCCACAGACTATAGTATGATGATTCAATGCATTTACAATGTAGTTTTCACATCAAGATAAATAGCATTCTCATCTCAATCATCCAGCATCCTTTGCATTAGGAGAACTTCTTTTGTATTTTGTGAGGTAGATAATAAGTTACTGTCGACCGTGGTCACCTCCTTTGCTGTCCTTCCATGCCGCCTTCTTTGTCCTCCCTTCCTAGCCTCTGATGACTGTCATTCTACACTCTGCTTCTGTGACATCACGTGCGTGCGTGCGTGCGTGTGTGTGTGTCAATGTGTGTGAGTGAATGTATGACCAAGTGTATGTGTGTGTGTGACTCTGTGAGTGTATAGATGAGTGTGTGTGTGTGTGTGTGTGTGTGTGTGTGTATAAGGGGGGATACTGGGAAACAAACCCAGGGCCTCACCCATGCCAGTGTTGCCTTTGTATAATAAATGGATGTGCTACACATGCACTTACTGTCCCACCAACAAAGAGCTCTGTGTTAAGGGTGCTCTGAGATTGAGTGAGCCTAGGTTCCGAGTGTTGTGACATCCTTTATCTGCAGGACCTTAGGCTGCACCAGGTGATTCTATTAAGGCATGCCAGATCACACCTCACCAATGCTCACAATGTCTCGGCAAACTCTACTCATCCTCCATTGTCTTCTCAGCCCACCCTGTACTATACAGGCCCCTAGCGCTTCTGCCCCGCCTCTTATACACACTGTTCCCAGGGAGAGCTATCCTGCCTGGTGTAGTAATTCATGGAAAGAGAGCTTGTCCGTAAAAACTGTGGTGGAGGAAGTAAGTCAGGGTAGGGAAGGAGAAAGGAGCAAGCTAAGTTGTAGTCTCAGGCAACGGGCAGAGGGTGGAGGGGCTGGGGGTCAAGGCTGGGAAGTGAGAGGCTTGGGAATATAAGCAGTGCCTTGTGCTTTGTTGTGTGAGTCCATGATTGTCAGGGAGGGATGTAGACAGGGATGGTGCTGGAGCAGTGACTGAGAGCTTTACATCCTGATCCACAGGCAGCACGGGGCAGGGGGAGAGAGAGAGAGAGAGAGAGAGAGAGAGAGAGAGAGAGAGAGAGAGAGAGAGAGAGAGAGAGAGAGAGAGAGAGAGAGAGAAGAGGAGAGAGACTGGGCCTGGTGTGAACTTTTGAAACCTTAAACCCAGTGACGAGACCACACATTCTCCAACAGGGCCACACCAACTTCAACAAGGCCACACCTCCCAGTCCTTCCCAAACAGTTCACTAAATGCAAATATCTGAACTTTTCTCATCGAACTATCACAACATCTCCCCAGCCCCTCACATTACATTTTCATAGTTTTGTTGTATCAGCTCATGAGTAGTAGTTTTGTCTACATGGTCTCTGGGTCCTCTGTGTTGAGGTGTTCCATCTCTCCTCAGCTCAGCTGCATGCCGGGAGCTGGGCCTAACCTACTAGAGAGGCATGGCTTCATTCTAGAATGCACGCCATCTTCCTCTGAGAGCCTGTGGAGAACATTTTACATCCAAACAATAACTCTGTGTGTGTGTGTGTGTGTGTGTGTGTGTGTGTGTGTGTGTGTGTGTACACTCCTTTAGTCCACAACACAATCTTAAGAGGATTTGAGGATTTACCCTCATTTTACTTGGGATCTCACCTTAGCTACTTTCCCAAAGCCAGCACTCACTGAGTGATCCGTGTGTTCTACTCAGTGTGTGTTTGATATTGTGCTATTTCCCCCCAAGCAAAAAAAAAAAAAAAAACCAAAAACCTTCCCTATCGCCCCTGGGACCTTTAGATTCACTGACAAGTTAACTGTTGTGAAAATGTCCGGAGGCTGGTCAGAGTATCTTGAGCAATTGGACCCCAGGGCTTAAATGCTTACTAGACAATCGTATGTGAGAACAATGGAAAGAACCTCCCTAGTGAGGAAAGAGTCCCAGCCCAGTCTGCAGTTTTCTATATTTGGAGAAACAACAATGCTGGCTGTCGTCCTGGGAAGAATAAAGATTCTCTAATCTAAAGGAAGGACCATAGGCAAACACGGAGAGAAAACCGAGAGGCATAAATAGCTATTATGGACAATTAACGCCCTCTATTTCTTAAGAAAGGAATTCTTTTTTTCCCTTTTTTTTCTCAAGTGTACCCCTCATCCTTTCTTTAGAGATTATTTCGGGGCAGGGATGAATAGATTCTTCTCACCCCGTCTCTAAGGACTGCAAGTCTGGAATGATGTGATCTAACCCCCAGTTCCACTCGGTTGAATGAAGATGCATTGTCAACTGGGGTGAGCACTGGTGATAAAGACAGGGACACGGCTCCTGCCCTCCGCATGCCCACAGCCACCAGGTGGGCAGGTCTTCATTCATTCGTGCACACGTACACGATGCGGAGTACTTACTCTCCACACCCTACGCGAAAGAACACAAAACTTCTCTAGCTGGATGTGATAAGCATTCAGACAGAGGCATGTAAAATAGTACAGTGGTAGAGGATACAGAGAATGTACTTAGCACAAAACACAGGAAACAGAAGCCAAGCGACACATGAAATATCAAGGACGGCATAGATAGAGCCTATCACTCCTTCACTGGCTGTAATGTTTTATTCTCTGTAGCGTAAAATCTTAACCTCTCTGTATCATACTGTGTTTATTATACAGATGAAGAAATGGGAGATTCACAATAGCCAAGGTGCCTGCCAAAAGTCGCACAGCTAGTCATCACATATAGGCTGTCTGATTATCTAAATGGTGACTTGTCTGTCACACTTCCTCTTTGAGCTTGCCTATATAAAACCACCAAGCCAAACCAACAACAAAACACAGCAATTTATTTTATTTCTGAGACACAAGGTTACACTATGTAGCTCTTGCTGTGATTTACTATGTAGACCCAGGCTGGCCCCGAACTCCCTGGGATCTACTAGACATGGGAGACATGTGTTAAGAAAAACTGAGGAGGTAGTAGGGGTATGGACAGCATGTGGGCAGAGGGGGAGGGGAGCCAGGGTAGGGAGAAGACTTTTGGGTCACACTACAAGCAGTGTGTCATCCAGTGACTATGGTTGTGTAGTGCGTGTCTTCCCTCCCTGCCCGTGTAATTGTGGGAGGAGCATCACTGTTCTGCACCAGAAGCAGGTGCCTGGCATGTAGTAGGCGATTAGTAAATGTCCACTGTGCTGATGTGGGTCTAAGGATTGTTCGTGTTTCTTCTGGATGTGCACTTACCAAAAGCAGCTGTGAAGATCATCTGTATGTATTAGTGGGGAAAGGAAACTTGTTTTAGAAATCAACTATTTTGTTAATAATTGCATTAGCTACTTATATTAATTTAATATTTATGAAAACTGAGAATCATACTCAAAGGCTATAGTATCACAGGTTATAAATAGCTCTTTTGTGTTGTATGTGTGCATACACAATGTGTGCACATGTGTACATGTCTGTGTGTGAGTGTGTGCGTGTGTACATGAGAGTGGAGGTCAGGTTGATTTTGAATGTCTTCATCAACCACCGTTTTATTCTTTATTTTGTTTGTTTATAAATATCACAGAGAGAGATAGAGAGACAGAGAGCACGCATGTGCACGCGCTTGCCACTGTGTGTGTGTGTGAAAGTGAAACCTTTAGGACTTGGTTCTCTCCTTTCCCCATGGGACTTGGGGATTGAACTCAGGTCTTCAGGCTTGCCTGGCAAGCACTTTCCCTTCCACCTTATGTGTGAGGCAGTCTTCAGTGAACCTGGAGCTCATCACTTTGTCTAGGTTGCCTTTGTCTAGGTTACCTCAGCATTGGGTCCCAGATGTGCTCTCCAGGTCCTAGATTGTTATGTGGATGCTGGGGACCCACACTAGTCTCCTCATGCTTGCATGGCAAAGACTTCACTGACTGAACCATCTCCTCAGTTCCCAAACACTTCTCTTTTCATAATTGATAGTGTTGTCTGCTCAATTACCTTTATTGCTTTAGAACAATGGCTCTCAATCTTCCTAATGCTGTGACCCTTTAATACAGTTCCTCATGTTGTGGTGACTCCAACCATAAAATTATTTTTGCTGCTTAACTATAATTTTGCTACTGTTATGGATCATAATATAGATATCAGATATTCAGGATATCTAATATGTGACTCCTGTGAAAGGGTCGTTACCCACAGGTTGAGAACCACTGCTTTAGAAGCTGGTAATAGTAAGGACATATCATCCCTTGAACCTAGAGAAGTCAGTGAAAATTATCTACAAGTGGCTTTTTTTCCTGCATATAATCGTAACAAGCTTCACCTGACATTTCGTGACCCAAATGGCTGGGTCATGCCATGTGGTTGTCTCATTTTTTTTTTAGCAGAAATTCAGTCTGGAATATTGTTATGGACATAGAATCTGGACCTGGTCTTGCAAACATCCTCAAAAGAGGTTTCCTCGTCTATAGATGGCACGGGGGTACTTCACCTCATAGTGTTTGTATGACATTTAAAAGTCTTGTTTTGTTTTCCATAAGGCCTCACTCTGCATTCCAGGCTGCAATCAGGTTTTCTGGGCTCCTCAGGCTTGCACTTGAGATCTCCCTGTCCCCGATGCCCCTTGATGGGATCACAGGTGTACACCGCCAACCCCAGCAGTTCTGAATGATTGGTGCCATGCATGCCCAACACAATATCCAGAACATTAGTTATTTTAGCCACCATCCTCTCCTTTAATAATAATGATGATGATGATAAATTCTTTTTTGTTTTTTGAGACAGGGTTTCTCTGTGGCTTTGGAGGCTGTCCTGGAACTAGCTTTTGTAGACCAGGCTGGTCTCAACTCACGGAGATCTGCCTGCCCCTGCCTCCCGAGTGCTGGGATTAAAGGCATGCGCCACCAACACCCGGCTGATGACAACTTCTAGAACACAAACTGCACCCTTCTGTGGGTTGTCTTCCCTTTGTTCCTCGCACCGTTTTTATTTTTACCCTCACCTTGAATACTGGCTTTTGTTCTCTGCCTATTCCTTTTGTGATGCAGGAAAATTGACGGGACCAATGAAGAGGAAGACAGCATTGAGCTGAGTGAAGAAGGAAGGCCCGTGCAAGCATCCAGGCCACACCTCCCAGTCTGTGACTGCAGTTGCTGCGGCCTCCCCAAGCGCTACATCATCGCTATCATGAGTGGGCTGGGATTCTGCATTTCCTTCGGGATTCGGTGCAACCTTGGAGTGGCCATTGTGGAAATGGTCAACAATAGCACTGTGTATGTGGATGGGAAACCAGAAATCCAGGTCAGTGTGGAGCTAAAGCAGACATGTGTGTGTGTGTGTGTGTGTGTGTGTGTGTGTGTGTGATAGCTGTGTAAAAGCAAATAGAGAAATTCATTAATTGATGTAACAAACGTATAGAGTGACAGCTTCATACTGAGTCCTGGACATGGTGATAGGAACATAAGGCTAAATAAAACTGACAGGGACCTTGAGCTCCAGGAGACATATAGTGTAAGTGACAATTTGGTGTGCCAGTTGCCATGTCAGTATGGCCGCACTAGATTCTTGGGCTCCTATAGGATTGAGCGTATCAACACTGTGGTATTGTGACTTTCCAGACACAGAGGTTTGGTGGGGTAGGAAGATGAATGTTGGAGGAAAAAGGAACACTGTGTGTAAAGGTCTGCAGATGACAAATCATGGTGTGTTAGGAACTGAGACTTGAGACCCTTGCTTTTCTGTGCTACAAACCCCTTTGATCCCTGGGAACAACCCACTAACCTTTGATCAGAGATGATGGTTGAAATTCTTAGCATAATAGACAAAGGATTATAATGGGAGGCAATTATATTAAGATATAGAACATATTTAAAAATCAAATTTATGATGTAGAAAAATGGACTTCCTTATTAGTACATCAGATGACAAAATCTAGCAAAGTTCCTGAAATTGCTATAATTTTAATGGAAGTATAAGAAACACTTTGTGATCAGGGCAACAGTTGTAATATAATCTGTACATGCTTCAGGCTGTCACTCATGACACCGTAGTGGAACTGATTTTACCATGTTTTTTGTTTTTGGTTTTTCAAACAGGGGTTCTCCGTGTCTTTGGAGGCTGTCCTGGAACTAGCTTTTGTAGCTCAGTCTGGTCTTGAACTTATAGAGATCCATCTGCCTCTGCCTCGCTAGTGCTGGCATTAAAGGTGTGCGCCACCAATGTCTGGCAGATTTTATCATGTTTTTAACTGTGTTTATGTTTGAAGAAATTCTAAATTTTAGTCAACAGGTAGTGAAGATAAAGGTAATGACTTTTCTGTGGTTTATTAGAACACTTGACTGCAACTTTGCTGAATTACCCACTGACATGCAGAGAAAAGATGTGTTCTAGAAACTTGAACCAAAGCAACTTACCCAAGAGCCTTCTATCCCAAAGTTTTGCTCCAGATATTATACAAGTGAAGAAGTTGTTTTGCAAAATAGTTTCATGAAAGCAAACTCTTAACAAAAATATTATATATTCTAAGTTCACAGACACACCCGAATTCTTCCACAAATCTATGATTCCTGCACAATGGTAAGAGTTCTCAGACTGGTGTTGTCATGGGGAAGCTCTGGTGTTGTTTAATAAACTGTTTTATGAGCATTGGAAACGTAAATCTAGTCTTATTTTAACCTAGGCAGTGATGGGATGGGTAAATGAAATGTGTCCCTGTAGACAGTCCCATAACTGTGCTTCCCATGGGCGTGAGTGGCTGTGGTAGAGACTGGTCCTTCTCAGTGAGGCACCTGGAGGGTCTCTGGATGTCTGCTCACATGTGGGCTTAGATCCAACTTTCCCATGTTGGTGTTTGGGAAGCCACGGTGCTACTGGCAAGGTTTCGGAGTAAGAAGACGTCGTGTGACACGAAGCCTGGACTGATTCCCAGGGCTGTGTGACTCTGAGACAGGGACATGGGAAGTAGTATTTCCTCAGCTTACAACATGGCAGTCTTCTCTTTGACGTCACATCTGTTAGCATCACCAGGACAGTCTCCTGCCAAGGACTGGCTTTGGGAAATTTGATGGCAGTTCATGACAAAGAGGTCTTTAGCCGGCACGCAGTCTTTCCCCTTTCTTTCGGAGAGATCGTTCTGCCAGAGCAGAGCAGCACCATGGAGATGCTTTAGTCTGCTTTTGAAGCCTCAGCTGAGCCTGTCTGGAAAAGATATCCTGTTTATGTGGGGAGGAGTGAGGAAGTGAGACGGGGACAGAAACGTTAAATGCATTGGTAAAGGGAACATTGCTGGGGTTTCCGATGAGTAGCATGCATTCTTCCAGCCTTTTTGTGAGCAAGACTGGCTGATTAGAACTCGCCTGCTGAGGCACAAATCAAAATGAGATGCTGTTTGCTTTTGCTACCTGAAAAGCGAGTAGGTCCACAGAATCTGAGAAATTAGGGCAGAGAAGAGACGTTTTGATAAAATGAAGGAGCAATGTTCCTGTGGGCTCCCCAGTTTCTATGATGCTGCTTAAGATCTAAAACATACTTTATATCGTTCTGTTTGGCATCAAGAGTAGGAGTTAGGAACTAGGCGTGGTGGGTTATGCCTATAAACCTAGTACTCAGGAGAGTGATGCAGGGGACAGGGTTGAGTTCAAGTTCAGCTTCAGCTAAATATTGAGTTCAAAGACAAACTAAGTTATATAACAAGACATGTCTAAAAAAAAACCTAGAGAGAAGGTCAAATAAGGGAAAAATCTAATCCCCAAATAGGACTCCAAACAATAACAATTCCCTTGATAACAGGAATTAAAACCTCACTCAAAACAGACAACAACAACAAATAAACATGCTCTAGCAAGCAAAAGTAACCCATGGCAGGCTGTTCTCTTCTCCACACAGAACAAGTTAGATATCAGCTGAGTGTGAGCAGCAGAGTGACAGTGCCCAGAATGGCCTTTCTGTTTCTGTGTTTTGTTTCATGGGAAATGTAGTTATTTTACACAGATATTTCTGGAAGCCCTGTTTGTGGGGGAGGGTAAGTCCCTTGGACAGGTTAAATTGAAATGGTACAAAGGACGATTTAGCTGACCTGTGGATAGTTACGTTTTAGTTTCAGGTTATGAGTTGCTGTTATGGAGCAGCTCAGTGAGAGACCATGTACTTAGCATAGGTGAAGCCCTAGATTCAACTCTTGGCACTCCTCCCCCACAAATTTATAATTTAAAGCATTTGTAGCCCTTAGTATCTGATATATGGTGAGCAAAAAACCAAAAGACCACAACCAAAACAAACAAACACACAAACAACAACCCCCCAACCAACCAAACAACAGCAACAAAATCAACTGAAGGCTGAGAAACTTGGCACCATTCTCCTTACTCACGAGTCTTGCAGGGTTTCAGGGATGGATTTCAGGATGCCACAGAGCAGCTTTCAGACTCCACTGCTCCCTAGCTCCCGGGCCCTGGGAAAGATGACCTCGTGTCCTGGTCAGGGATTGCTGGTTGAAAAGAGTAGAAGCTCAGTGAGAGCCACTCAGATTAACAAGGGGGTTACAGATGACTGGAGTGGAACCCTGTACAGGTGGTTTGGAAAGCGGAAGTTGGTCTGGGGGCCGGGAACTGAGGTCCAGAATGCCCTCTCCCAAGGGAAATAAGGTATCTTTACATAATTCTTGTGACAAGAACATAGCCCCTGTGGGAGATGCAGACTCTATTTTACCAGGGGGACTGGGAAGTTCTTGGCTAAGGTCTCCAGCTTGTGGGCCTCACAGGTTCTCGCCCTCTCCCAGTCTGCTCCAGTTTCCCCTGTCTTGTGAGGACTATCATGGCTTTACCTTGGCTTCTCCCTGTCCCCACAACTAAATCCTGTGATACTGTGATACGGCTCTCTATTCTGGTTTCCATCAGCCATAGCAAGCCCAGGGGGAGTATCCTATGGTTAGGGAAACAGGATGATCTTGGAAGGAGGTGAACGCAGTGACACAAAATAGCCCTTCTTGCAATCTTTTGTCCTTATTGTACTGGAACAAAAAGGATTGCTTATGAATCAAATAGATTCTTTCTCTTAAGCACCTGTGGGAGCTTTCTAGGACAGCCATTACCAGCAACTTGATATCTTAAAACAACACACGTTTATTCTCTTAGTTATGGGGAGACAAGAAGTCTGAAGTCAAAGGGTTGACAGGACCTCACGGCTCTCATATCCCTTGAAGGGACTATCTCCTTGACTTGGCCATCTCTGGTGGTGGCAGGAGCTCCTGGACTTGTGACTGAATCACCCAGTCACTGCCTTCATCTTCAGAGCTCCTCCCCCCACATTCCCCTCTCCTCCCCCCTTTACGGACACTTCCCTTTGGATAAAGGGTTCCGCTGGATAATTCTGGATGTCTTGACCTTTTCACATTTGCAAAGACCTGTTTTCAACTAAAGGGGCATTTTCAGATAGCAAAGCTTTGGTTTGGGTGGCTTTTGGGGGTAGAGGAAGTGTTCTATCCCTAAGCTGTATCTATCGCCATTATTTTGCTCTTTTCCAGAGACAGGTCCTCACTAAGTTGCCCAGGCTAACCTTGAATTCACTCTTTAGTCCAAGTAGGTCCTGGGCTTGATCCTTCTGCTTCAGCCTCCTTCGTAGCTGTGACTATAGGCCTGTGCCAACTGGTCCAACTGAGAGCAACCCACCTGATAAAAATTTAAGTGTACGATGCATTATCTTTGACTGTAGGTGTAGTGTTGATCTCCAAAGCTTAGTCACTGGCTTGAGGGACATATTTTATTCACTGATTGCTAACTCTCCACTTCCCTCCCCCCAGTCTCTGAAAAATCTCTTTCCCCTCTTTACTTCTATTAATTTGCCTATTTCAGATCCTTCATGTAGGTAGAATCATACAGCATTTCTCTTTGTATGGCTGGCTTATTTCCTGTGACATCTCTCTTCTAGCTTCATCGGGACTGTTGAATGTAATGCTTCTTTCCATTGAAAGTACAAGCTGCACTGTTTAAATTCATTTGCCAGTGGCAACCAGGTTGTTTCTGTATCTCAGACATAGTGAACATGAGAGTACAGATGACTTTGAGATTCTGATATCTTTTGGAGAAATACTCCAAAGCATAGATATTGAGTCACATTTTTAGTATTTGTTTTTAAGTTTGTGGGGAAATTCTATACTTTTTCATGAGTAATGGCTCCATCCCTCATTCCCATCAGCAACACAACTCATTCCAATTTCTTCACATCTTCACCAATTCTCCTTTGCCTCCTCTTTTTATATGTGTACACACACACACACAGAGAGACAGAGAGAGAGAGAGAGAGAAACACACACCATCCTGACAAAAATGATGAGATAATCGTATTTCCCTGATATTTAAAATTTGCCAGTGGTTAAGTGTATGACTATTGGCCATTTACTTGTCTTAGGTGGTAACGTTTCTGTTCAAGTTGTTTCACCCTTATTATTCAGAAGGGCTCAGGCGATGTGGAAAGTCACTTCCCAGCAGGTCTCAGTGCTCTTTGACAGGATCAGTCCTTTCACAGACCAGAAACAGTATCTTCTCCGAGAGAAAAGTGTGAGAAGGAGATGGTGTCTCCAGACGTCAACAGCTGGATGAAGTCGGTAGAAGTGAGACTCAGACAGGCATGGTGGTGCACACCTATAACCCCAGAAATCAGGAGGCTGAGGCTGGGGGAATCACAAGTTTGAGGCCAACCTGGGTTACATAATGAGACCCCATTTCAAAACAACAACAAAAAGAGGTATATTTTACTGTTTATCCTGGGGATTAAATGTAGGACCTCACAACACCACCAAAATACATTTGATAATACAATGCTAACTTTTTTTCCATTTTGGAATATTGAGTGCTTTAACCACTAAGCTACATCTGCAGCTCTTAAAAATACTAAAAAGAATGAAAACAATAAAAGGACTTGAGAGACCTAAGAGTATAGTTATCGTTAGGCTGTCACCACACTGGCATCTGAGCAAAGTGCAGAACGTTCTTCATGTTTACTTCACAGACTGTTTTATTTTCTCCTCAGCACACATGGCTATTTGATATGTCACATTTTACACACATGTGGGTATCTACTTAAATTCATGCAGCTCTTCCCTCTCGCCAGAAGGTAAATTTGTAGAATCAGGGACGCTTCGTTTCATGTTTCCACTGATATAACAATCAAGGCATCTTCTAGAAATATCTGCTGAAAAAGGAAACCTCGTGACATTGTCACATGGTGACAAATGCCATCAGTTGTCCCTTACAAATGCGGCTGCGTCTGATTCTTATTTTCAGATGGCTCAGTTTAACTGGGATCCAGAGACGGTGGGCCTTATCCATGGATCTTTCTTCTGGGGCTATATTGTGACACAAATTCCCGGTGGCTTCATCTCAAACAAGTTTGCTGCCAACAGGTAAGAGTAATAGACACAATGAGTGCTGCTGAGGCTGTAATGGGGCCTCGTGCCTCTGTTGAGTCTGAGTACTTGTTCTCAGCACAGAGGTGCAGAGTGGAAAACAGGAGCCACCAAGGCAGATCCAATTCAGAGACGTTGATCCCAAATGGCACTGTTTTTTATTTCCTTTGTCCCTCTACAGTGTCATTTACCTTGTAGTTCATCAAGTGATTATATGATAGGAAGAATAGTTAACTGTGAGTCGGGGAAGTGATTCTTGACCCCCTCTGGCTCCTGAGTTACCTCTACTGGACCACTTCCTACTTTTTGTGGGAAGTTTCCTCATCTGAGAAATAAAACATTGGATTGAGCTGTGTTCTGGAACAGTGACATTCTGCACTTCAGGGTGTCTTGTGAGCACTGAGGCCTTGCCTTTACATCACAAGATGCGTGTAACATTCTTAAATGATTTTTTAATGGTGCAGCAGTTGTACGAGGAGCTAACTCAAGAACAGAGTGAATCGTCTGAAAAGAAAGTGAGTTTTCCATCCCTGCACGTGCTCAATGAGAAGAGTGTGTCCATCTTGGGGAGATGCTGTAGACTTGATCATGTTCCAGAAAAAGAGTGAACCAAGTATCTAGGTCCTTGCCGTATATTTGTCATGAGATATTGCTTAAGTCAACTTCATGAAGTACACCAAATTTTGCAAGGCATTTTTTTTCAACCTCTGAAATTACAACTTTCATGGTTGTGAAATCAGTATAGTGATTCACCAATGGGGATTTTATTTGAAAGAGAGAGGAACAAAAGAGAATGTGGCTAAAGAGAATAGACAATGAAACTATATATACTGTCTATTAGAGTAAGTATTGTTTCCAAAAGTGGTCTCCTTCACATGTTTCAAGTATATCCTGGGTTGTAATATGAATACACATATACCACATATGTGTGTGTGTGTGTGTGTGTGTGCTCACACATGAGTGCAGGAACATGTATGTAGGAGCCAGAGGTTAATGTCAGGTGCCTTTCTCAATCTTGAGACATGATCTCTCACTGAACCTAGAACTAACTGATTCAACTAGAGTATCTGGCCTGTAAGTTCCAGAAATTGTCCTGGCCTTACTTCTCTGGTGCTGGAGCTACAGACTCACACTAAGATTGGCCTTTTTTGTGGGTTCTGGGGGATTGAACTTGGGCCCTCAGGCTTACAGGTAAGCATGTTACTGATCAAGGCATCATATGAAATGTGTTTTTAAGGGTCAAAGTCAAACTCCCAGCATGCAGGAAGTAGAGGTAGGAAGATATGAAATTCAGGGTCATCCTGAGCTAAATGTGAGTTCAAAGCTAGCCTGGGATGGAGATGTATATATATCTGCTTTTTTCTTCTTTCCTTCCCAGAGACTCTGGGGCTGGCAAGGAGGAAGAAATAAGTGGCTCTGTGAGGAAATAGGGAGTGAGACAGTTCACTGCTTGGTTGCAGGTCACAAGCTGTTTCTTGGATTGTCAGTATCATCTTCAGGTCTATTGAGAGCAGAGTGGGAATCAGGAGGTACAGTCCCAAACACACAGAGGTCACAAGTGGGAAGGGTTGCCTGCCTGGATGAACTCAGGTTGGATGTGGATCTTGGTGAAATTCACCTTGGCACAGTCATCCTGCGGCCTTCTCTAGGGCATCATGCAAGTTAGACACCCCTGTGCTTCCTTGAATGTGATCCCATATGGTCCATGGACTGGGAGTTGAGAATCACAGCAGCCCAGGAGACTAGCTAGGGACATAGCAGATTCTAGTCCACTGTTCATTTCTCTGAATTAATTTCTCTTCATTCTCATCATGATTTTGCATGGACCTTTAAGCTGTTTCCTGAAGTTTAGCTGCAGTATTTTACCCATCGTCATCCTGTCCAATAATACAGTGTTCTGGTCCCCTAGGGTCTTTGGAGCCGCCATCTTCTTGACATCAACTCTGAACATATTCATCCCTTCTGCAGCCAGGGTACATTACGGCTGTGTTATGTGTGTGAGGATTTTGCAGGGCCTGGTGGAGGTAGGAGAGACATTTTCTTTACACTTTTCCACATTGCCAGAGAAAGCGTGGTGTTCTAGAACATTCAGCTCTTGAAGAAGATCCCCTTTGCTCAGATTTTAGGGTTCTCTATAGGACCCCATTTTTGCATCTTTAAACCACGGGTTGGGTGTGCTAGTTACATTTTGACCTAAAACATATAAGATGTATGGGTATCAACAGTAATTTAGAATGTAATGGGGCTCAGTGGTGCAGGCCTGTAATCTCAGCTACTGAAGGGGCTGAGGCAGGAGGATATCAACTTTCAAGCTTTCCTGGGGAACTTAGAGAGGCCCTGCTGCAGAATAACACTTAAAGGGACTAAGGTTATAGCAGTGATAAAATATTTGTCTAGCGTTTGCAAGCCCTAGGCTCAGTCTCCAGTTACCCTCTGTAAGAAGAAAAGAAAAATTTAGACTGTTGTTGAGTCCCCAATCTAACTTTAGTCCTGTCGAAGGACATATGCTCGACTCCAGTAACCAAAGACAGCAGACATTCATTTCTCACGGTTCTGGAGGCTAGCAAGTCTCAGGCCTGTGTTGCCAACATGGTCAGGGATGATGAGGGCCTGCTTCCCGGGTAGACTGACAGTCATCTCTGTTTTCTCACATCAACTGTACTGCAGGGTCTCTCCTGTAAGGGCACTAATTCTATCCATGAGGCCCCCACCTTTGTGCCCTTGGTTTTCCCAATGCCCACATTCAAATACCACCACACTGGGGACTAGATTTCCACATTAAAAATTGAGAGGAAGATAGGCTTTGTATTTGACAATGTTCACAAATTGTATTTTTATACTGTAGCTTGTGTGTAGCAGTGGCATTTGCACTTTAAACACAGAGAGGAACTGGAATAAAATTTAGTCATCCGTGTTTAATCTTTCTGCCAGGGTGTTACCTACCCAGCCTGCCATGGGATGTGGAGTAAGTGGGCGCCTCCCCTGGAGAGAAGCCGATTGGCCACGACGTCCTTTTGTGGTAAGCATGCTAGAATCCTAAGTTGGTTTAGGAATGCTTTTCGGCTTCAAGTAACTTAAAAGTCTACATGGAATCTTCAAAAGAACATATTCTCCCACATGACAGAATTCCTAAGGTAAATAGTCGCTGGGGTTGGGTCTAAAGCTCACTGAGCTGCCCCAGGTCGTAGGTATGCTCAATTCCCAAGACCCACATGGCGGAAGGAGAGGACCTGCTTCCACAGGTTGTCCTCTGACCCTTGTGCCATGCTTGTGTGTGCCCTCGTATGTGTTGTATTAAAAAAAAAAGTAGTGAGAGAAAGACGCCACTCCACAGAGCTCATGTGGAGTTTTTTGTTTGCTTGTTTAATTAGGGGAAAGGGGATAGGAAAAAGGGAGGGAAAGGGGGAGACCAGCCTCTGGGGATAGGACCAGCAGAGAGAGAGAGAGAGAGAGAGAGAGAGAGAGAGAGAGAGAGAGAGAGAGAGAGAGAGAGAGAGAGAGAGAGAGAGAGAGAGAATGGGAGCCAAGGTCAGGCCAGTACAGATGCCTGAATGCTAACAATATACACATAAAATAAAAATAAGAATGCACTGAAATGTTTTTAACATAGAAGAGATGGGATCACCAGGTTCTGTCCTGCCCCCTCCATTTTCACAACGAAGCAAAAAAAAAAATCCAATACCTTGTGGGAGGTTGCAAAGATCCCCAGCCACAGAGCCGAGCTGAGCTGATGCCACTTGGCTCCTGATGCGGAACTTTCCTTACTACACGTAACCACCGTGCTGTTATTGTCACCGAGGGACTTAACTGTGGGCATTATATTCCAGACAAAAAATCCCGAGAGTGACATGACTTCAGCTCTTGGGTCTCTGAGCCTTGTATCACCAAGGTTCTGTTCTAAGCGTGGCTGAGAGGAGTCAGTGCCCTGACAGGTTTATCTCAGTACGAACCAGCGAGAGAAATGAGAGCCACCAGCACAGTTACAAAATGCATGTAAAACGTCTTTTTATAGAGGAAGGGGCCCAGGAAGGCAAAAGTACCTTAGTCCACAGAAGTTACAGTGTGGTCAGGCAGTTAGGATTAGAACAAAGGTGTGTGTGATTTATTTTCTGTGGACAGAACATTATTGTTGCATTACAGGGCAGTTATGAAAATAAGTAAGTTTTCCCAAAACCAGTTTCAGCCTTAAAAAGAGTCATTTACTAGGAAAAAAGATACAGTTATAATTATCATGTTTAAAATACATTTTATTCAGCTGGGTGTGGTGGTACATGCCTTTAATCCCAGTACTTGGGAGGCAGGAGATCTGCCTGATCTCTGTGAGTTCAAGGCCAACCTGGTCTACACAGCAAGTTACAGGACAGGCTCCAAAGCTACGTAGAGAAACCCTGTCTGGAAAAACCAAACCAAACCAAACCAACCCCCCCAAAAACCCAAATGACAACAACAACAACAAAAACCCTCCAAAAACCAAACCAAAACAAGACAAAAAGCCATTTTACTCAAATGTTCTTAGGAAGTGTTTGTTAACAATTTTTATTTGCTTTTACTTAAAATTGATTGTTGACTATTCTAAGAAAAGAATTAACAATATTTTGTTGTATAAGACTTTTGCCTGAACATGTTTGTGTACCACATGTGTTCCCAGTGCCTGAGGGAGTCAGAGGAGAGCACTGGATCCCCTGGAACCGGAGTTACAGAAGGCTGTTAGCAGCTGTGTGTGCTGTGGGAATAGAACGAACCTGGGTCCTCTGCAAGAGGGGAGCCTTTAACTGCTGAGCCGTCCAGCTCTCTAGTCCCAGGATTTTGATTCTTAATTGCTGGTTTTTATTTTTTGTATACATGTATGCATGTGGATGATGGTGGGGTGGTGGTGGTTTTGTGTGTGTGTGTGTGTGTGTGTGTGTGTGTGTGTGTGTGTGTGTGTGTGTGTACGTACGTACGTATGTACGTACATGCCATGGTGCACAAAAAAAAATCTGGTGTCTGTTCTCACCTCCCGCCTTGTGTGCAGGAAGGTCTTTTGTTGCTTTGTGAATGCATACGCCAGGCCAGCTGGACTTCAGGCTTCCAGCCTCTCCTGCCTTTGCCCCCATCTTGGTGTGGGAACCCTGGGATTACAGATGCTCACCGCCATGCCAGTTCTACAAAGGTCTGGGGGGGATTTGAACTCCCATCCTCATGCTTGTGCAACTATTTTGTCCAGCGGACATCTGTCTCCCCAGTCCTGCTCCACTTTTTGAGGCAGAGTTTCACCTAACCCTTCTGACCTTGAATTCTTGATCCTTCTGCATCTATCTGCAGAGTGCTGGGATCATACAGTGCATCACCAATCCCTGCTCCCTGGTTTTATTCTAGGATGTAAAACATGCCACCCTCCCCTTGACTTGGGGTTCATTTTCAATAACTGAGTAAAGACTGGGTCCCTGAATACCAGTTACTGTTACAGTCCAGGTAACTGTTGTTAAGTACTATTGATAACTACTGACTGCAGTATGTAACCACTGGATTCTTGGTTCTTCACCAGAGGAACAAAAGCCATTTTCTCTGTAGAGCTGGCTTGTGAAATCTCTGAATCCCCACCTCACTGTCTCTGTGGGCCACTATTTTATCACCATGACCTCATATACCAGATTTTGTTTTTATTCATAATTAAAGAATTCCTGGAGCCGTTAAACTTTTTTTTCTCTTTAAGCCTCTTAGTATTTCCTTGTATAGTTCAGCTGACTTCTCTTGTTATGAAGATGGTTTGGTACATAAACAGGTGTTAAATTGTCTGTGAGAACTGTATCTTTGAAGGATTTTTTTTGAGACAGGATTTGGCTATGTAGCCCAGGACAGCCTTCCTGCATCCAACTACTAATCCTACTTTCCAACTTCTGTGATTACAAGGTAGGGACCACCACATTCAGCAGTCTGGTTTGTTTTTAAAATTATACTTTATGTATTTGTGTGTGTGTGTGTGTGTGTGTGTGTACCAGGGCATATGTTTAAGTTCTCTCCTTCTAGTATGTGGGTCCAGGAGGTTGAACTCAGGCTTGGTGGCAGTTGCCTTAACCTGTCATGTCTACCTAGTTCTTTCAAGCTGTCTTCTGTAGTATAAGCTGAGTTGAACTTCTTTACCAAGGGGAGCAATCAGCCTTCCTCTTTATTAATATGAGGGTCCTTATTTTCTTTTAAAAATTATTTATTTTATGTGTATGGATGCTTTGTTTGCATGTATGTTTATATACCATGTACATGCCTGACACCTATGGAGGCCAGAAGGTGGCAATGGATGGCGTGAACTGCCATAGGTACTAGAAATTGAACCAGGGTTCTCTGGAAGAGCAGACGATACACTTTAACCTCTGATCAAGCTCTCTAGCCCCATTAACTCTCTTTCTTATTGTCTCCATATCTCCTTTAAATCATCATTAGTGCCATAAACTATTCCCTGGGAGTTTGATTGGAGATAGTGTCTGTGTCCCTGTTTTATGTCTAGTTCAAAAGAGTACATAGCTAAGATGTCTTTAGCTTCATGTCCATCCTCTTGATTTCTGGAGTGGGTCTCTACTGCACAAAAGTTACAACCAGCCCCAGAAGATGTAAGACTGCCCACTCACTGCTGGTGGTGTGACCCTTGGCCTTACTTTCTATGACAGGCAAGACCTTTCATTTTGACTTGCCAGCAAAACGAGAGTGACTAGTAGCCGCTCCCCATTCTCAGATTGGTTTTATAGCCTTAAAGGGGCTGATTTAAAAATGGTTCCACTCAAGGAAAGATACCTGGTCAAGGTCTCAGGCCTTACCATATTTCCCAGCTAAGGCGTGGCTTAGTCTCAAAGAACAGTCGAGGAAAAATGTCACTACAAAGAAACTTAAGCTTGAGGTTAATCCACTCTTAGTCTTAAAATACACTGGGCTTGGAAAAGACCGGAAAACATGGGGTCACAGCTCATTGTTTCAGAGTTGAGGAAACTTGGGGAAAGAAGTGAGATTAGCATGTTTAGTGAGAACAGAACTCAAGAGTCTCTTCCACTCCTGCCTGGCTTCATCCCCTCTCCATGGCACAGCACTCCCTGAGGGCTCCATGCGCCCTCAGTGGTGATTACTTGGGCACTAGCATCCACTCTACTCTCTAGGGTAGCCTGAGGGCTGGGTATCTCATTTGGAACAAGCTCAAGGGGGGCTGTGAGTGAGGGATGGGAGATGGTCTTATACCTGTGATTGGAGGTCAGAGCCTTTGATAGACAGGGGAGGCAGTTAGGGTCGGTTATGGTTTCCCCAATGAAAGAATGCTTCTTATAGTGGGGGATTGTTGGCATTTGATGGTGAAAGAGGCAGGGTGGAAAAACCATAGAGGCTGGGCAGTGGTTGGGCAGAGATTTAATCTCAGAACTTGGGAGGCAGAAGCAGGTGGATCTCTGTGAGTTTGAGGCCAGTCCGGTTTATAGAGTTACTTCCTGGACAGCCAGAGCCACACAGAGGAACCCTGTCTCAAAAAAAAAAAAAAAAAAAAAAAAAAAAGGAAAGAAAGGAAAAGAGAAACCCTAGAGTAAGGTCATCTCTGGGTTCTTACACTCCTATAACCATAGGCAACTCACATTTCCCCAGCCTTGTTTTCTTCCTAAAATGGGGGATAGTATTTGTGTCTCCCTCATTGGGTCAAAAGAAGCACAATAAAAATTATGGGTTCAGGATGTTTGGCTCACCACTTTTAGAATACGGCAGGCATGGTAGCTGATCATTCTTTCTGACTTTCTCTGTCTCAAGGACACCTTTGTATTATGCAAACTTCACCCTGCTGCTCCCTAGGGCAGAAGACCACTCTACACACACACACACACACACACACACACACACACACACACACACAGAGAGTGAGTGAAAGAAACAGAAAGACAGAGATAGAAAGAAAGGAAGAAAGAGAGATTTCTTTGCTAATGTATGTATGCTTTGGAGTGCTTGCTTTATTGCTGTGAAGAATTCAGAAGTTTAAAATCAATGTGCCTTAGGGTTGGGGTTGTAGCTCACTTGAGAGAGTGCTTGCCTAGTTTTCAGGAAGACGTAGATTATGATGCCAATATCACCTAGGGACAGATGTGGTGACACAGCCTACAAAACCAGCACCTGGTAGGTGGAGGCAGGAAGATCAATAGTTCAAGGTCATACACAATGAGTTCAAGGCCAACCTAGACTACCTAATAGCCTGTCTCAAAAGATGTGCTTTGCTATTCTGTAGATAATAAAAGCAGCGGCAGCTGGCATTTATGTGTCCATTTCCAGCTTACAGAGCATTCTGACACCACAGCGTAGGCAACGCCCCCATGACACGGAGATGGCGTTCCTATCTTATCTCTGAGCCAGGCTTTCTCCTTCCTCAGCTCTCACAGCCACATTCCAGGCCCCAGGCTGCACCTGTCTTAGAGATCAGGCTCAGCCTAGGCAGCTGTGATTCCCTATTTCCTGGAGCATAGCCCACTTCCTGAAGATCCTGCTTGGTGTTGGACTTGGGAGATGAACTTTCCTTTCATGCTGCTCATTGTTCTTAAGGAAAAGCTTCTCATTTACGGCCCAAGGGGATTCAGTTAGCATTAACTGGGAGTTTCCAGGGCTCTAGTTTACCTAGTAGATGTCCTGGGAGACCAGGTGACTGCTTCTAATCCTGTCACCAAGACAGACGTCCTCACACAAGCACACAAAGTTCAGAATTCAAAAAGCAAGAAATGACAAAGGACAAAATCACTACAGTTCAAGTTTAAAGATCTAGGTTGGTTTTATTTTGTTTTCTAGAATCATCAACAGTTCAACCCATAAAACAGAATGATTTTCGCAAGAGGGACAAGAAGGAGAGGTTGGTTCATGGGCAGAGAAGGGCTACGAAGGGAAGAACTTGGGGTCCACAATGGTTCCATTCCATTTTGACTTAAGGTCAGAGAGTTCAAGCTTGTGCTTGCTCCTCAAGGCCAAATAACAGGATGTTTGGCCAAAGGTATGGTTACTAGATGCTTTGAGAATTAAGGAGGTGACTACACTTGTCTGTTCCTCCAATCATGGTAAGGAAGCCTTTTGCCCTCTTTTGCATTGGATAAAAAAGAGCTATGAGAAATAAATTTAAGGCTGCTGCAGTATTCACTGAGAGTTCTTCTGATTCTATCTTCTGTCTTTCATCTCTTTCTCAATCTTCACTCCCCTTTTTAGGCATGTTCGGATAGGTCATCTGGCCCCGACAGAAACTAAGAGTAAATTTCAGTGGTTTCTCATGCATGGTCACAGGGCAAACACCCAGGACAAGAGAGAAGTAACCAGTTAGTATCAGGTGACCCTTTTAATGTGAGAATCAAGGGAGAAATACTCAGAAGTCTGTTGTCACATCCGTGGAAACTAGCCTGTTAACTTTTCCTGGTTTCTTAAAGATAATTTAGCTTTACCTTGGTGATGTAGAACCCTGGAACTTGCGACTCCATTTTGATTTTTAGTCTGTTCTATTGGGGCCAGTGTAAGAATCCACATCAGCTAAACATTGGTCTCCTGTAGTTTTTATCCAATAGAAACGATTTCTAAAATGTACCCATTTAGGAAGTGGATGGAGAGAAAAGCCCTCCTGCCAGCTTGGGATTTTCCTGAGTGTGATGTGTGTGTGTGTGTGTGTGTGTGTGTGTGTGCACGCACGCGCACTTGCACACATGTTCTTTTGTTTTTGAAAAGGCCATGAAAGTATCTAGGGAGCTCTGAAAGCAGGTTACACATTCCTGTTCTTGCTGCCTTTGCACCCAGCACTGTGCTTGGCTGCATTCAATTTTTTCTCTTACACTTTTCTCACCTCTGGATTCTGTTTGCTTGTGGAATTCTAAACTGTGGTGCCCAAGCAGACTTTGTCCAATCCCTGGATACATCTCTCAGTGAAGTTAAAGAGCATCCTGAAGACTTCCCTCTCCTAGACACTGGCTTAAGGCACACTTGGAGGCTGGGATGTAACTCAGTTGCAGAGGTGTGGCTTTAGTCTACGGCACACTAACAACAGACATAATGTTCACCGGGAGCCCCTGACTGTTGTCATGGAGACATCTGACTTGGAGTTCATCACACACACTCTGCCTGGGCTAACAAAGCTTTCACAATGATTGGTCAGTGTCTCTCAATCTTCTGTTTCCAGGTTCCTATGCTGGAGCAGTCGTTGCTATGCCACTGGCAGGAGTGTTGGTGCAGTACATTGGCTGGGCCTCTGTCTTTTACATTTATGGTGAGTGATTTGGTTTCAAGAGTTCATGTGTTGACACACAGAGATACCGTTTACTGTATAAGGGTATGCTAAGGGTTTGCTATGTGAAAATAGAAATACAAAGATAAATTCATCATACAATTGGAAAGCCTGCGGGTCACCAATTTAACACTTACATTAAACTTGGCATTTTAAAAAAGCAGAAGAGTGCCATCCTTTAAGTCTCAGTCAACAAGATGGAAACCAACAAGATACTTCTCAATGAACATATGCTATCATAAAAATTAACAACTATAGAGATGGAAACAGATGAGACCATGCCCCTGAACCTTTTGTTTTTTCATCTCCAGGTATGTTTGGGATTATCTGGTACATATTTTGGCTGTTGCAGGCCTATGAGTGCCCAGCAGCTCACCCAACAATATCCAGTGCAGAAAAGACCTACATAGAGACAAGTATCGGAGAAGGGGCCAACTTGGCCAGTCCGAGTGTAAGTACAGATAGAAGGTAAAGGCTGGTCTCTTTGTCACATGTGTTTCTCTCCATGATTGTGTTACCTACCTTCTTGTGGAGGTCCCTGCAAACACTACTGACAGCGCAATGGTTCACAAAAGGCAAGAAGGAAATTCAGTTCAGCATAGTCTAGTTAGACACTGCTGGTTCAAACTTCGAGCATCTGACACTGTGCAGTTTATTTGAGACATATTTAAGTACAGTATAATTTTGGAAAAATAGTTCCTGGGAACAATTATCTTAGTACTATGTGCACAATAAAGCTTAAGGTATGGCTACATGGGAACTCTTTTTGCAAAGTACATGCGATCTCTACTATGAAGATGAGCTCTATGACTTAAGGGACTAGGATCTGGTGTGGTCTCAGCCATACAGGCAGTGTAGAGGTCACTGGGCTAAAAAGTACAAGTGACATTTCCCATAGGGATGGGTTCTATTGGCTGAGAAACAATGCTCAAGATAAAAGTGTAGGGAGGGAGAGTCTGGGATAAACATAATAGTGTGGGAGATTTGAGTGATGCCTGGTGCTTCAGATAGCAAAGGTCACCAGGTCATTAACCACATCCACCTCCAGCCTTCTGGGTGGAAAGCAGGTACAAACATCCCTTCTGTTGAAGAGACAAACCTGTGTGTCTAACATTCCTGCTTTTCCTTGTGTTTAAATGTGAGAACAAAGACCTTGTGCTCTGTACACCTTTTTACAGAAATAAGATGTCAGTGTCTTCATTCAAAAGCTTATGGTCTTTTATTACTTCCTAGAAATTCAACACACCCTGGAAAAGGTTCTTCACATCCTTGCCTGTCTATGCTATCATTGTAGCAAACTTCTGTAGGAGCTGGACCTTTTATTTACTCTTAATAAGTCAGCCTGCCTACTTTGAAGAGGTCTTTGGGTTTGCAATAAGTAAGGTAAGCATGCAGATGCTTTCAATGTTCTTGAACCTTAACTGTCTTGATCTGACCGAGAATAACTTTACATGATAAAGTAATTAAAATGGCTAACATTCATATAGTTCTATCACAGCATCCCAGAGACCAGACAATAGTCTGACTATTTACTTTCTTTTTAGTAAGGATTAAAGATGTAGTTATCCGCATTTAAAGATGGTGGCTCTATCTAGTCTCAGTGTGCTTCTAAAGCGAATGCAAACACGATATTAGTTTGAAGGTAAAAGTATTTGATGGAGTGGGTTTTCCTCCTTCTAACCTACTCATTGTATGGGCTGGGAGGTTGCTCAGCAGGTAAAGGTGCTTATGGTCAAGTCTGATTACTTGGGTTTGGTCCCCTGTACTCAGATGATACAAGGAATGACTAAGTTCCTGTAAGTTGTCCTCTGACCTCAGTATGTGTTCTATGACCAGACCCCTTCTCCCAAATAAATAAATGCAGTAAACTTCTCACTGGGTGCCAGAAAGAACATTGAGACTAATGACCAGTCCTATGTTTCATAAGGGTGAATGTAGTCATAACAATGGTTGCTTGGGATAGCTTAGGAAGACCCTCCTTCAGTGTCTCCAGCCATTGCCATGAGATGTTTCAAGGAGGTTTTGTTAGTGAAACAAAATAAACATCATGAAACAATGATGTTTCCATTCTTCAAGAAAAAGAACTGCAGCCAGGCATAGTTAGATGTCTGACTAGCTGCAGGTGCTGTCAAGCAGAGACTGGAGGAACGAGCATAGTCGTGTGATGGCGGATACACATGGTTTTCCTTTGCTGAGCCTTATTCTGGACCTTGTGATGAGTAAGAGTTGTCTCCGGCCCAATGGAAAATTCAACGTTCAGTCAGTTGGTGAAGACAGTTGGTCCATACACAAAATCATCCCCCCATTCATAGCTTGATGATTATGAAGTTCAGACCTCCTAGGATCCCACATTAGATAACTAAACTTGGCAATGACTGTGGGACTGTGTAATGAGGATGAGCAGGGACTTGTAAAGATCTCTCAGAAGAATTTAAATTGGCTTATTGTTTCTTTTCCTTCTAGGTGGGTCTCTTGTCTGCTGTCCCACACATGGTGATGACTATCGTGGTACCCATTGGAGGGCAACTAGCTGATTGTTTAAGAAGCAGAAAGATCTTAACCACAACTGCTGTCCGAAAGATCATGAATTGTGGAGGTACTTTGCCAAGAGGCTCAAATGGTTTCTGTAGAGTTAGAGCAAATGAATTGCAGAGCCTACTTTAGAGCCATCCAGGTATTGTCTCCCATCCATGTATTGATTCAATCCTGCTTAGCTTGAGACTGGGCTCCATCAGACTCAGTCAAGCTGAGTCTAGATATTGTAACCCATCTTGAAGACCTCTGAGTCCATCTCTTTATAGATGAGTGTTGCCTGCTGTATCCTTGCAAAGTGATTATGTAGCCAGTACTATCTGGGGCGAGACAACTTAGTTGATGTCTGATGGACCAGGACACACTTAAAACTCAAGAAACACCTTTTCCTTCTATTCTGAAGCCAAAGTAATAAAACTTTTGGATGTGTATCTGATTGCTATTTGTGATTTCCACACATCCTTCCACTTATTATTTGCTTACATAGTTTATTTCCTTTTCTTCTTCAATTTAGGTGAACATATATTTTTGTGTAAAACACAAAGGACACCACATAAGAAGTCAATGAAACTAGTCACGAACCCCTACAATGTTTATAACTGTTCACCTTTTTGACCTCTCCATTTTTTCTTAGCTCATGTATGTTTCTTTTGAAGTGTGTGCTTTTGAGTGGCTTTCAGGGCTATGCACTAATCTAGGTCTTCACATGTAGCATCATACTTAATCTTTATTATAACCTTGTGGAGTGGGTACCTCTGTGGTATGAAGTTTACGGGCAGAAACAAAAAACTGAGGTAAAATAAAATGACTTCTTCAAGTGGAAGATCCTGTGCAAGGCAAAAGGTTTGTCTGAGCCCATTGTCCTCTCAGCTGTTATCTTTCCAAGGGACTGGTTGAGGGTGACTGAGTGGGCAGTAGAGGAAGAAACTCCAATAGTTACAAGGTCACGAGTAGGATTTTAAACTGAAGGAAGGTATGGGCATGCTCTGACTGCAGATTAGAGGGGCCAGACCGATTTACAAATAAAGAATCTATGTAGAGATACAAGAGCTGGGGTGATCTGACTCACAGCAAGGTAGGAGTAAAGAGTGAGTAATGAATAAGATGGGAACCTGGCATCCCACAAGTCTATCTGCTGCTCTTCAGGGATTCTTGGATCTGTCCTTTATTTGAACTGTTATATAAGAGCTTGAAGGATGGCAGAGGCAGATCTATCCTCTGGTTGGCAGGAGATGAAAATTTGAGGCATTGCATGCAGGATCCTCTCTGTTTTCTCATGTGGCTTTGCAAGTGTGATTAACTTAAAGAGTTTTTGTCGAGATAGAGTCCCATTTATCACAGACTGGCCTTAAACTCTCTGCATTGCAGAGGACTGCCTTGAACCCCTGATCCTTCCGTCTCCACCTCCTGAGTGCTGAGATTATCAACATGCACCACCACACCCAGCTTATGTGGTGCTGGAGATCCAACCCAGGACTTTGTGCATACTAGGCAAGCAGTCTACCAACTGAACTTTATCTTCATGCCCCAAATTAAACCATCTTGAGATGGAGAAATCATCCTACATTAGTGAGGTGGGCCCAGTGTAACTACAAGTTTTCTTAATAGAGGAAGCAATAGGTCAAGGGTCATGACAGTAGGACTGAGTCAGAGTGATGCAGCTACAAGCTAAGAATCATAAGCAGACTCTAGGAGACAGCAGAGGTGAAAACAGATTCACAGTGAACACAATCTTGTCGACAGCTTGCTTTTCTCTCAGAATGGCCCACTTCTGACTTCTGAATTACAGAACTGTATGATAATAAATGTGTGTCGTTTTGAACTGTTAGGCTTATGGTAATTTGTTACATCAGCAATTGGACACTAATAGAATAGATACCTCACTGTCTGTCTCATTCTGCAGCAGCCCGTCCTTGTCTTGGACAGATGTGCACATATCTTGAGTCTGTTGTTCTCTCAAATCCTCTTCACTGAGTGTTTTGCTCACATTCTCTTTTCACTACACTAGTTTCTACAAGTCATTAAGAGTTTAGATATGAATGAATGACCTCAAAGGACTATGTGTTTAAGGTTTGGTTCCCAGCTAGTAGCACCATTGAGAAGTGGTTGGATTATGAAGCTACTAATATCATGAGTAGGCTAGAATTTCTTCTATTTCTGAGTATAGTATTCCTTTGAGTAATCTGCAATGTTAGCAGAAATGTTGTCTTTCTTTCTTTTTTTTTTTTTTTTGGTTTTTCGAGACAGGGTTTCTCGAACTCACAGAGATCCGCCTGCCTCTGCCTCCCGAGTGCTGGGATTAAAGGCGTGCGCCACCACCGCCCGGCCAGAAATGTTGTCATACCACCATGTTTGTGTTTACCTTGGTAGCTTCATATTTTTCCGTAAATTAAAAAGAATACTTTGCTGGATATAGCAGGCTTGGTTAGAAGTTACTTTCAGGGCTTGGAACATCATCTCAATATTTCCTGGGTTTTAGGTTTGATGGCAAGAAATCTAATGCTATCCTGATGCTTCCATTGGTAGGGAAGTTGACATTTCCTTTACAATTTTTAATATCATTTCTTTGATTTGTAGCTTTGACATCCTTCCTATGACATGATGCAGAGAGGTTCTTCTCTGGCCATGTCTGTTTCAGAGTCTAGATAATTCATGTGTTTAGATGCCCACTTCCACCATAAATTAATCAAATACTCTCTCTCTCTCTCTCTCTCTCTCTCCTTCTCCTTTTACCATGTGGCTCCTTAGGTTCAGTCTCTTGAATGTATCTTAGAGTTCTTGGGAATTTTGCTCTTGCTTATTTGTTTCCTTCATGGTCTGATGTATTATTGTCTTAACTCTGTCCTCTGTCCCTGGCATTGTTTTCTTATGCTTGGTCTTGTCTGTTGATGATGTTTTCCACTGTGTATTTCATTTGGCCAATTAATTCATTTCCAACACTTCTGTCTGGTTTTTCTTCAGGATCTCAATCTTATTTCTGAAAATTCCATGTTTTAAAATGTGCCTTCTAAATTGCCAATAATCCACCTTGGTAACTTTTAAATCTAGGTCCTGAATGCATTTTCTCGCTTCATAATTTGCTTGTTTGAGTATTCTTTGTGGTCACTGCTCCGTCTTCACAGTAGGGTGAACACACAGGATTTTATGTGAAAACAGGGTTAAAGGAAGTCAGCGGTGGCTCCGAAGTTTCTGCTTGGTAGTCTGGCATGTGCACCCATGCTCTACTTCAGCATCTTGCTCTCCTGACTGCCTTTTCCCTCTCAGTGTTCCTTTAGGCTGCTGGTTAGCTCTGCCTTTAATATGTGGAGTTGGAGAGCTAGCATAACTAGTCCAAGGTGACACAGGTCATGGTTTTGAGGTGGAATCTAAAGTCAGGATTTCTGACAATATAAATATAGTCTAAGTTCTAAAGGTGGCTAGGCTGAGGACCAATCAGAGACAGGGAGAAAGAAGTGGGAGGGGTGGTGTGTTTTGGGTTCTTAGGCATGAAAACAAGAGGGACAGACACTCGGTTGGTCATGTTGCCCTGGACGTAACTGTAGAAGCATCGTGTGGAGATGTGTGGACTCAGCATCTAGTCTCCAGAATGAAGCCTCCACTCTAATTATCCCCTACCCTTTGTGTACTGCAAGTGATATTTATGTCATCTCTGCCTGCTGCTAGATGAATTCTCTGTCTCTCTTGGGAATACATGTCTTTATAATTATCCCATCTTTTTTTGAAGATGCTGGAATCATTTATTCTGGATGAAAAGGACAGAAAGTATGCTTCCCCTATTATACTTTCTGTGCAAGCATCTCATGCTCTTTCAGAGGCCTGAAGACTTGGTGAACTAGTGAAAGGAAAAAGTTTTGACTTATGCGTCATTAGCCCTAGGCATTACTTTATTTCATTTATTTATTTAGTCCTTCCTTTTCCCCACTAGAGATGGAGTCCAGAGTCTTGTGCATGTCAGATGAGCATTCTGCCACTGAGATATCATCAGCCTCTCCCCTCCCCTCCTCTCTCCTCTCCTCCCATTTCTTCTCTTTCCCTCTTCTCCTCTTCCCTTTCTCTCCTTCCTTTCCTTCCTTCCTTCCCTTCCATTCCTTCCTTCCTTCTCCCCTCTCTTTCTTTTGATACAGGTAGTTTTTGCTGACCTGGCATTCACTGTGTAGACCAGGCTGCTCTTGAACTCACAGAGATCTACCTGCCTCTGCCTTCCAAATACTGAAATCTGCTTGGTCTCATTATTTGATAGACTGACTTTAAATTCACTGTATAGCAAGGCTTCCCTTAAATCTATGATCTTTGTAAATTGGCCTCAGTCTCCATGCCTGAGCCACCACATCTAACTGAGAATTTTGATTTCAAATGATTATTATAGTTTTTTAGAAGAAAATAGTACAGGGGTGTTGTTGTGTTAGTTTTATGGAGAAGGCTACAACTTATGTAGACAAAAGGGGTCATTGACTGTATATACAGGTTGGCAGGAGCAACTACACAAGGGCCATCATTGAACCTCCTGGGATTATTTATTATCCAAGGTGCACCAGGATAAGGCAGAAAGGAATACCCAGGCAATAGTCTAGCCATGCAGTCATGAACCCTGGGGAATACTGTAGATACTCTTAGGATATATGTACTAAACATTCAGGTTCATGAAATACTGGTTAGGTTCATGCTGACAGAAATATGACAATTCTTCTTGTGTTTCTATTTTCAGGCTTTGGCATGGAAGCAACCTTGCTTTTGGTGGTTGGCTTTTCCCACACCAAAGGAGTGGCTATCTCCTTCCTGGTGCTCGCTGTAGGATTCAGTGGCTTCGCTATTTCAGGTAAAACATCCTGGGTTTTCTGAATTGAGTATGTAGATTCACTGAGTCTTAGGAGGAAGGAAGGACAAGGAAATCGTAATACTTTCATTTAGTAGCCCAGGGATTCCCAAGGAACAGGGCCACTGCACAGTTTCATTAAGTGGGGTGACATAGGATCCACCAGGCATGGACTTAGAGCCCATTCTAGCTGGTATTGTCCCTACTAACTCTATCAGGGGAAAATACGTAAGTTTAGCTGATTTCCCTGAGGCATAAGCAGAGCCCAGGCATGTATCCCAGGCTAGCTCCCAGTTCACCCTACCTGACAGACCCACTTACCCCTAGAGGACTGCTAATTTTGGCTCAAATGGCCATGCCATTTGACATTTGGTCACAAACATTGGGAGCGTTTAGAGTGACTTCTATAGTTTCAATGAGTTTTCTTTTTGGCTGCTTCATTGCTTTCATTTTCTGAACAAGAAGATCTGGGAAGGGGTGGGCATCCTTCAGTCTGATGATAATGATGTGAGCTTACTGTGATCAAGATCTCGGGAGGTGTGGACATCCTTCAGAACAAGTGGGTCTGATGATAATGATATGGGCTTACTGCCATCAAGCATGGATTCAATGCTGAGGATGCTTAAACTCTCTGTGACAACTTCCCCAGTTCTGACAACTACCCCAGGAGGTTTTGATGTTATTGGTATCTCCATTGGACAGGAGCAGACACCAACTTATTGTTTGGAGAGGATCATATGCAAATCACCATGCTTACAGCCTCCACCATGCTTACAGACTCCAGAAAACCCCTTGCCAAGCCCAGTGAGAATGTACATGAGCTATCTGTCTCTGAAACTGCATCTGCCTGGCAACAGCAGAGCAAATGGTGACAGCAACATTTAACTGAGTCTTTCACTATTTTACTGAATACTACTACTACTAGTAGTAATAGTGGTAATAATAATAAAACAGTTCTTCCCTTTGTCACACAGTTAGTGACGGACACAGACCTGCCTGCCTCCAAGTCCTTCTTTATCCCTGGGTCACCTTAAGTATCAAACAGCATGAAAATATACCAGAAAAGAAAAATGTTAAATCTTTTTCCCAAGCTACCCTAAGATGGAGGCTTGGAGTATCTATCAAAATAAACAGAGAGTATTAGTAGGTATATTATGGGAAAAGAAAAATCTAGAAGTCAAGAGTTTGGGTTTGGAAGTACACAGAGCTGGGTCTCAGATCTTTCTTAACTGTTATTTATTTATTTATTGTGTGTGTATAAATAATTTACCAAATTTTTTTCAGTTCTGATCTGGAGACTGAAGGCCTGGGACAGCATCGGCTGGGTTGTTGGGAGGGTGCCCTGTGGTCTTTGATTCGTTCTCACACTACTTACCTCATGCATGGGGATATGCAGTGAACAACTACAACTTTGCCCTCATAGAATTGCTGTTCCAGGGAAAATAGGATACTCAAGGGTCTCATCAGGTGTTGGATCAGGAGCAAAGTTTTGGGTGCTGACTGTTACCATTGTTCAATCCTCACAATGGGAGCCCGCTGCTTCCCAAACATTCACATATCGAGAAGTTCCCCTGGGCCTAACAGAATACAGTTTCTGATTAGTAAAGATCCAGAGTAGGTCCCAGCAGGCTCTGCAGAGTGACCCTGATCTACGTCTGCAGTTTTTTCTTTCAGTTTTTGGGAGGAATGCAGAACTTTGTATGCACTAGGCAAGTCCATCATCACTGAGCGACACCCCACAGTTTTCCTCTATACACCAGTTCGATGCTGGCCCTCTTTTATAGCTCGGGCTAGCCCTGACCTCTGGATCCTCCTTCCTCTGCCTCCCAGTACCAGGGTTTCAAGTGGGTGCTGTCATTCCTGGTGGCCGTCTCCACTCGGAATAGCAAGAATACAGCTATCCTGGTGTGCTTCTGGCAGGATGCGGAGGAGAAGCTTCTCTTGATGAGTCTGTCATACAAGAGAGATTCATAGCCTGTCCCGAGAGATACAGAAGCCTTCAAGCTTGCATAGCTTTCTTCTTTCAGCATTGCCAGTTAACTCTCAAGCAGAAGTTAAAATAAAGCGAGTCACAACTCCATTCTCCCAACTATGGCAGCTGCCTTTACCCCATGTGGGCCACTTTTTTTTAACCCCATTAAGATTTTTTTTTGAGATTATAATTTAATCATAACATTTCCCCCTTTCCTTTTCCTTTCTCTAGAGAAATGGTTCTAAACCTTACTAATGCTGTGACCTTTTAATACAGTTCACAGTTTGTGGTGACCCCCAAACATAAAACTTACTTTGCTACTTCATAACTGTAATTTTCGCTATTGTTATTGGTTATAATGGAAATATTGTTGGAGATTGGAGTTTGCCAGAGGGGTTGAGACTCAAGGGTTGAGAACCAGTGCTCTAAACTGTTCCATATACAACTTTCCACTCTCCTTAAAATTCATGGTCTATTTCAAAAACTGTTATTGAATTCATATATGAACATGTGTAAATAGATGTATGTATATATATACATACATACGTATATATTCCTATATATCTTCAGTCCATATAATGCTACCTGTATGTAAGTTTTCATGACTGATTGTTTGGTGTTGGACAACCAATTCGCATGCTCTTCCCTAGGGAAGGCCATGTCTCCTATTTCCAGTCTTCCTCAGTTGCCTGTCTCCCAGACTGCATGTAATGTTTTCATGTGCTACAAAAATTTATCAATGTCCTAGTTTCTCAGTGATTTTCCCATCTGAACACCAGCAGCATGTTGATAGAAGCCTATGTAGTTTTCCTCAAATTCTCTTTAGCTGAATGCAAATGCCCAGGCTGGCTTTGTATCAGAGCAGAATGTCCAACAATCAGATTAATTGCCTCTTATCTCTAGTTTCTTTTCTAGAAAGTATTTATTACATTCAAATCACAGCAAGATTAACTGATCTTGCAGCTGTTTTATGTTCCAATTGTTTGGTACTTTGATCTGAAGGAGAAGGTGTTGTTATTTCATTTTTAAAAACTTCTCCTTGAATGTAGGCAGAGAAAAAAATTACCCAGATTGGATGAAGATTTTTCAGTGTTTTTTTCTCCCACAGAACAGAGAATTAAAAACCAAACCAAAGATCAGACGTGAATGAGTGAAGGGCTAGTGGGACCCTACCTACCCTTTGCTCCTCAACTATTAACTATACTGATAAGACTCTGGGGGGAGGGGTCATTGGCCTCTGTTGCTCATTTGCCTCTGAGCCCACCAGGCTTCAGTGGGTAGTTCCAAACCCGTGTTCAGATAAACACCAGCCTGTTTAAACTCAGCAGGTCACAAAAAACAAGACAAACAAGAATGTGAGAAAGCACTTTGCAGAGAAGTGGAGAGGTCGATGGGGGTTCAGGTGAGAATAATCAGTACATGTTATATACATGTATGAAACTGTCAAAGACCAGGGCAGGGTTTGGAGAGATGGCTCAGCAGTTAAGAGTGCTTGCCGCCCCTCCAGAGGACCTGAGCTCTGTTCCCAGCACCCATGTCAGGTGCCTCATAACCATCGGTAACTCCGGCTCCAGGGGATCCGATGCCCTCTTCTGACCTCTGAAGGTATGTGTGTGTGCACACACATGCACACATACACATAACTAGAAATAAAACAACTGAATTCTGTTTTTTTAAAAAGAAATTGTCAAAGGACAAATTTGATATATAAAAAAGTACGCCGCAAAGCAAAACAGAAGCACAACTGAACAAAGCCCATAATCCTTTGCTGTGCGTTCAGTAGCTTGAACTGGTAAATAAACACAGGCATTTGAGTGATTCCTATAGGCCACACACTTTGCTACTGCAGGGAAGACAGTGGTCAGCAGAACAGATGGCTGCCTAGACTTCATGCCCATGCATGTTGCTAGGCATGGTGTCTACCTGTGATTCCAGGTTCTCGGGGGCTGAGGAAAGAAGATAGCTTAAGTCTGTGAGTTTAAGACACTGTCTCTAAATAAATAAAACGTGAAATGAAAAATTAGAAATAGAAATGCATGGACTTGGCTTTCCCTTCTAGTTACCATTTACTTAATATCCACTATTATTTAGTTTAGTTCCTGAAATGGTTTTATAAAAATGATCACTCCATTTTATAGAAGAAACTCAAGTCCAAGAAAGTTTAATCTTTAGTCCAGATAGCTTCTCAGTTAAGCTACCAGAGTTGAGGTCTAATTCTAAAATGTACCCTGGGCTATGTGGGTAGAGCTGGTTTATGGGGATTTGGGCTATGTGGGTAGAGCTGGTTTATGGGGACTTGGGCTTCTTTCAATGCTTAGCCATGTTCCTCCTCCTTGGCTTGATTTACTCCTTCCTTTGATAAGGGGAATAGCAGTGGCACTTTGTCATTTTGCCGCGTCCAGTAACATTTTCTCTGGTAGAAGACCTTAATGACTACAGACAGGGAGATGCTTTCCTGTAACAGTAGTAATAGCAGAAGTCCAATAGCTGTTGTGTGGTTAGAATAGCGTAGCTTCTCACCTTGGAACTGTGTGGCTAGGACAGCGTAGCTGCTCACCGCAGGTCTTCATGCCTGCAGTTCTGTGTCATGTCACAGCACCTGTTACAGATAAATAGTAATGTTATTCCCATACTCAATTACATGATGGAAATAAGCTTTGAACCCAAACCTACAGATTTGAAACATGAAAACCCTTTGTAAATTATTAAGAGTCCTGTCATGTCTATGCAAAAAGCTAGAAACATCATTTTTAATGGATCACACGGCCATCAAGGCAGACTCATCGATGGAGGACTTCTAGTGGTTGGCTGGGAGAAGCCATATTGGAAGTTAAGGTTCTGTTCTGTAGGGTTTGATTGTTTGCTTTGAATAGATACAGTCAAGGTTTTAAGACTTTGGGTTTTGGAGTTCCAGATCTGCTGGACATATTGTCTATAATTCTTACCACCATAGGAGCATTGCTAACCAGAATGGACAGTCCTGCTTTTGCAGGGACAGGCTGGCAATGTCCAGCCAGACCTTCTTGGTAGAATATCCATTAAACATATACTAGAGAAGATTAAATTGATTGGTGAGCCTTGGAGCAAGCCACACATTTCCCAAAGGGTTTTTAGGAATCCTGTTCTTAACTCTTGATACTGAGGTTTTGGCTTTACCATAGGTTTTAATGTCAACCACCTGGACATTGCTCCACGCTATGCCAGCATTCTCATGGGGATTTCTAATGGAGTGGGAACACTATCTGGAATGGTCTGCCCCCTCATTGTCGGAGCAATGACCAAGCACAAGGTAATGATCTCCTTTGTGGCTGTGGGCTACGATGTCAGGGTAGAAGCACTGTACAAACCTGAGATCTCAGTGACTTACTCCAGTGTGTAAGTGTGTGTCCCTGTCCTTGGAAACTGAGATCTCAATGACTTACCCCAGTGTGTAAGTGTGTGTCCTTGTCCTTGATTGAGTTTTGAACAGCTGCCTCCTCCTCCGCCCCCCTTCATTCCCCCTTCTGCTTTCTTGTTTATTGATGGCACCAGGACTAATTGCTATCTAGTTCCACACCTTCTCAGCTGAGAAATAAATGTTTGGAGGATAAAAGTAAAGGCCATAGATATTCTTTAGAGACATCAAGAAGAAACTCAGGCAGCCAACCCAGAATGAGTGTTCTATTTAAGGTTGTTTTATGATTCTACATGCTAAAACAGGGGATAGCTCATTTCCACCGGTTGCTTAGAATGTCACCCATAAAATAGTGAGTGGTGTAGATTCCCTGCTTGTTTAGGAGAAAATAAACAACACATTAATGAATTTTCTCAAGAACCACCTTGCCCAGACTTGATGCAAGGGGAAAAGCTTGGTCCTGCCTCAACTCAATGTGCATGCTTTGTTCAAGCCCATGGGAGGCCTGCCCCTTTCCGAATGGAGATGGAGGATGAGTGGGGGGAATGGGAAGAGAGGAGGTAGGGGAACTGTGATCAGTATGTAAAATAAATGGGAAAAATGTTACTTAAATAAATAAATAAATAAATAAATAAAAACCATCATGGGGGCAGGGGAGATAGTTCCAAGGCTGTCTTTGGGAGGACCAGGGTTCTGTTCCCAGTACCCACATAGTTCACAACCATTAGTAACTCCACCATTAGATCCTCTGGAGCTGGCATTACAGATGGTTGTGAGCCACCTGTGGGTGATGGGAATTGAAACTGTGTCTATTTTACAAGAACATCCTCGACACCTAACCACCATTACCTGGTCCATGGATGCCAGGCACACATGTGTTGCACAGACAAAACACCCAGAACATAGTATACAAACCCCTGAACCTTCAAGGCTGTAGTACTTAGCTTTTATTGAACATTTGTGGGTTTTAAACTTATTTTTATCTCTAAAAATATATTTATATTTTTTCTACATGAGTGTTTTGTCTGCTTGTATATATGTATACCACATATGTATCATGAAAGCCAGAGGAGGGCATCAGATCCCCTGGGGCTGGAGTTACAGATAGTTGTGAGCTACAACATGATGCTAGTATTGAACCTGGATCCTCTGTAAGAACATCCAGGGCACTTAACTTCCCTAAGGCATCTCTTCAACTACATGTGACCTGTACTTTTTATGATACATATTATATTAAAATGGAATTCATTGTAGTCTTTCATTTTCATTTTCAAGCACTCAACTTAAGTATATATTCTATCATGTCTACCTCGAAGCACAATGTAGCCTTCGAGGAACAGATGTTTTTACCCCAGTGGAAGACTTTAGGGCTCACTGTTGGCCTCTGTTTTTGCTCAAAACAGTAACTGGATATTTCCTTTGTTAGACCCGTGAGGAATGGCAGAACGTGTTCCTCATAGCAGCTCTGGTCCACTACAGTGGTGTCATCTTCTATGGGGTCTTTGCTTCAGGGGAAAAACAGGACTGGGCTGATCCAGAGAGTCTCTCTGAGGAGAAATGTGGGATCATTGACCAAGATGAATTAGCTGAGGAAACAGAGCTCAACCACGAGGCTATGGTAAGTCCCAGAAAGAAGATGTCTTATGGTGCCACCACTCAGAATTTCGAAGTCCAGAAGAGTGGGTGGAGACAACAGAGAGAAGCTGCCTTCCAGGAGGAAGAGGCATTGTCCTACCAGAATGAAGGAGACTACTCAGAAGCATCCTAATGCCCATCTTCTCCTCAACATACAAGCAGAAGTATCCATTCCCATTGCCTTTCCATACCTCGGCTTGCCAGGGGACAAATCATGGGACACTGGAGGTAGTGGGAGGAGATTAAGTCAACAGCAGAGAAAAGAGAGAAACACCTTCTTCCATAGATAAGAGTATGGTTCTTGCTGGGCGTTGGTGGCTCATGCCTTTAATCCCAGCACTCGGGAGGCAGAGGCAGGCAATCTCTGTGAGTTCGAGGCCAGCCTGGTCTACAAAAGCTAGTTCCAGGATAGCCTCCAAAGCCACAGAGAAACCCTGTTTCGAACCCCCCCCCAAAAGAGTATGGTTCTTGCAGTCAGTTGATAAAGTAGTTGATCATATCTTTTCAGGGTGGGGCAGGGTTGGTGTTTGCTGTTGAGCCTTCTCTCAAAGAACTAGCTACTCAGAAATAAATGGCTAGAAGAATAAGAAGTAGCTTGTTGCTCAAATAAACATAGAAAGAAATCCCTCTTTGGCCTGGAGAAGAGTACATGATGGCTGTCACCACACCTCCTAAGATACCCATGCAGAGAAAATTTCCTAACCCTGATGAAGGGAAGCACTCATAGAGGCCCTCTGTTGTGCCAGGTGCTTTATGAACATTCTTATCTAACCTCCACACCCTATTACATATAGTTATTGTACCCATTTTACAGCTAGGGACACTAAAGGAACAGGATAACCCACCCAATGTTGCCCTCTTGGGGTCAAGACCGAGACCGGCAGATGAGTGGGAGTTTTAGGAGAGAAGGGTCCACCCAGCTCAGTGTAGGTACATTTTCAATGATAAAAAACTGGAAATGGAATCAGCTGTTCTATGGGTGATTCCATGTTTGGTCAAGGACGCGTGCACGCACGTGTGTGTGTGCGCGCGTGTGTGTGTGTGTGTGTGTGTGTGAATATTTAGACTATGTGGCAGAGGGGATTCAAATATATAAAATTCTGAACTCAAAACCCTTAAGGTCCTATATTACTCAATGAACCAAACCATTTGGTGAATCAATGACTTTTTTTCTTTAAGAGTCACAGACTGACAAAAAGAAATAATAAATAAAATGAAGCTAAGGATGATAGCTCCATTTCCAGGAATGTTTTAAAAGAAGTCTACGAAGAGTTGACTATTAAATTATAACCCTCTACATCATTGGGAATGTGGTTAAATAATGTCCCAAGTTAACTAGTAGCCCCTAAAACATTTAATAATCAAAGAATCAGACTCAGGTGACTTTTTGCCACTAGTTTCTTCAAAGAGTTTTGTTTAAACAAACGTGTGTCACTAGTTTTCTCTGCCAGTGAGTATAATAATAAGTGGTCAGATGACATGAAATTGTTTTCAAAATATTCATAATAACTGTACCTGGAATGTTCATTGAAAATAAAAAGATAGCAATAGTTTTGTAGAGAAATACTGCAGTCAAAATGTTCAAGACAATCAGGCCTGTACTTGGTGTTGAAAACTTCATCTGTGATTGTGTTAAGCAATAACATGGATACTCTCAAATATAATTAAAAATGTAATGTTGGCATGTGAGAGGTTATTAGAAAATAAAATTAATTTCCTGACCCTTAGTTTTGAAAAGTTTGTTTATATTTTCAGAAGGAAATTTAATATGATGATAAAATACAGATATACTTGTAGTATGTTATAGTATATTATTTGTTGCCTAGTTTTTTCCATTTCGTTTCTGGTCCCTTGCTATGCTTAAGGAGTTATAATGTACTTTATAAAAAAGACTAATGTTAGATTTTAAAAGAGAATGGCTAACTTCCCACTAAATAACATTCTTTCTTTTACTTGTATATAATTTGTGTTATCAGACGTTGTAAAACCTCCCTATTGCGTGAATCCATGTAAGCCCCCCCAGAGCAGTTCCTGGCATACAGAAGTACTTAAGAAATAGCTGTCCTGTCATCACTATCTTTGACTCTTGTGTGACCATGTCATTTGTAAAGAAAGAACTGCTGTGTCATTTCATCCATTGGCCGCAGAGTTTATTATGAAAATTGCACTGTTTTCTAAGTAAAAAAAATAGATAATAATAACCAGTGTTTATTTCTTTGTGTGTTAACAAAGTATAATAATTACATGTATGAAAAAGCCTCATGATGGTCATGAAGGCAGTGTTGTAGGTTGTGACCCAATCTGCTGTGCGTGTCGATGTTACGCAGAAACACCACATTTTGCTTATACCTTGCACGTATAGTATATTTTTTAGTGGTGGGATGGATCGTGGCATTAAACGTTTTGAAACATGTTCTCTTGTGGCGATGCTCTTTCCTTGCAGGTCACACTTGGACAGCATTGACAAGTGACACTCACCGGTTTTGTACATTTTGCTCTTGTCCATTTGTAGAGCTACCCTTTGGAGGCTGAATGTGGATTCCAGCAGGAGGGGTCCTGAGGATGCTGGATTACTAAATGAAGTCTTGATTGTACTTTTTCAAACAATGACAGTTTTAGCTATTCCTGAAAGTAAGGAGAATAATTAATAGTGTTTTAAACATAATGAGCTATTATGTTTTCCTGGTTATTAAATCCAATATGGAACCCAACATTTCTATTTCACACCTAGCCTTTCAAAATCAACAAAATTGTTTTTTCTTTTTGTTTTTCTTTTTTTGGGGGGGATGTTAAAATTTGAGTTAAAATTTCCAGAGTTTTCTCTTTTTTTTCTGCCAAGTTTCCTTATTTTTCTATCCGTAGATCCACGTCTGACACAGCTTTTGAAAACTCCATTACCATCTCTCAAGATGCTTCTTTATTTATCGTATATTAATTGTTCATAACAGTGGGTTTCATTGTGACAGTTTCTGGAGCATACCTACACAATGTATTTTGATCATATTCACCCCATAACTTTGTGCCCCCTTTCTTGTCCTCTTTCTTTCTTCCTATCTAGTCCCCTTCCATATTAATTTTGTTGTTGTTGTTTTATGAGCCAATAACATCCATTAGGTTTGCTTGCAAGAGCCTAGCACCTTATCAATGGCACTTATAAATATCCTTTCTTCCCTAGCAACCGTTACCACTTGTAGATCCCAGGGAAGGGTAGGGCCTTGTGAGTTCCTCCCTTCTCTGTGAATAGGGAGGATGTTGGATTTGTCTCAAATTTTGTGCAGGTCTTGTGCAGGTAATCACAGCTGCCATGAATTTGAGAGTGCAACAGCCATAGCATGTCTGGAAGAGAACATTCTACAACATTCTATTCTTTCCCCTGGCTATTATTTTTTTCTACCTCCTTTTCCACAGTGTTCCTTAAGTCTTGGAGAGGGTGATAGAGATACCACACTTATGGCTGAGCATTTAGCTGTTTTAATGCATCTCTGAAGTTACCTTCTCTGACTAAAGTTGACAGCACCTTAATATATAGGCATACACATGATTTAGGAGGCGTTTTGATAGGCACATTCTTCCATTTAGCAAAAAAGTATCAGTAGCTTCCTCGGTGCGACCTATAATCTGACAAGTTTTATAGCACCAGGCATGAATTGCCCTCAATTCCAACTAGAAAGCCATTGGTTGTTCCTATAACTGCCATACCACTGTTGCACAAGTGGCCACAACTTGCCTGGCAGTTTGAGTGTAGGACACAGGGTTCACACCTGTGTAAAGCTGTTGATGACTCTCCACACACCCCACCCACCACCAGCAGGCAGCCTGAATAGAACCTTCTAGCATTGTAGTGGATAGTCTGCAAAGAGGAAGCTTCAATCTTAGTTCCATCTTGATTTCTGTGTGTTCTGTGATGACACTATGTGTTGCCCTTGGCAATGGTATTTTCTATCTGTTCTGGTGGGCAGCTGGCAGCGGTGGAATTGCCTATACTATTTCTGAGACCCCAGGGGGTTCCCTGACCAGCAACTCATAGGGAGGTAGCTCACCCGGCACTGAAATTTTCACTTACTAACCTATGACATTGGAGATCAGCTTTGTCTAGCGATGCAAGGCACCTCCATTCAAACTCTTATTTAATTAATTAACTAACTCCCTCTGCCTCCAGAGTGCTAGGATAAAAAAAGAGACATGTGCCACCACACCCCATTTTATATTATTTTAAAATTATCTTACCAAGTACCAGGTTTCCTGATGGCTTTTTCATCCCTCCTTATGTTGGTTGACCCTTCCTCTGCTCCCCCTTCTCTGTTCTCCCTTCCCTTCCCGCACTTAGGCATTTCTCCCCATGGTACGCTCTAATTTTCATGTCCCACATGCTCATATATGTTTCCTTCTTTCTCAACTCAGACTCTCTCCATCTCTTCAGAACCTTTTGCTTATTTATGTGTTAATCAGGATATCTTGTTCTGACTTATTTTAAAGTTTTTTAAAATTTCTTTCTTTAGTAGGATCTAACACGCTGCAAGCTTTCCCATTGTGTTTCATATATATATGTACATATATGTGTGTGTGTATTAGAAACAATCTTATTTTACATATCAATCCTCCCATTACCCCCATTGGCCCCCCCTTCCATCCCCATCCACTCCCCAGCGAGGGTGAGGGCTTCCATGGGCGATCATCAAAGTCTGTAACCTCATTTGGGGCAGGGCCTAGGGCCTCCCCCATGTGTCTAGGCTGAGAGAGTATCCCTCCATGGGGAATGGGCTCCCTAAGTCCATTCGTGCACTAGGGATAAGCACTGTTCCATTGCCAGAGGTCCCATAGACTGCCCAGGCCTCCTAACTGTCATCCATGTTCAGGGAGCCCAGTTTAGTTCCATTGTGTTTCTAATTTGAGTTATTTTCAGTTTTAAAAGTTTTTGGCTCTTATTTCATTTCTGCTGTCATCTTAAAAATATTTCTGGTTCTGCAAATATTTCTAGTCTTGTATTTCTTTTTAAGAAAAAATTATTTTTATTTGAGATTCTAAGTATAAAAGACAAACAAATTGGGTGATTGTAAAAATAATACAAGTTCTATTTTAGTTAAAGATAATCTATGACAGAGGAAGGAATTCTAAGGTACAAAAATGAATGTAAAGAGTGATATATATTGACATGCCCATTCAAAAAAGTTCTAAGAATAATTATTTCATATATACAAAAGAATATTAAAAATAACACCTGACACCATAGAGAGAAGCAAACTGACTAATTTGCTACAATAAAGAAGTGTTTTGGGGCTGAGGGTATAACTCAGAGGTAAGCAAGAACCTGTGTTTGTTTCTCAGCACTGCTGCAAGGTTTAAAAATAACAAAGTGATGTTTATTCATATACTTCAATTTTTTCTCATTAAGTATGACAATTTCTATTCATGCTTGTGTAAAACACTGATTCCCCTTTATGAGTATGAATAAAATATGCTACACTAAAGTGACAGATAATTGAAAATAAAAATTTAACAATAGAGATGCCACAGTATAAAAATTACATTATGAAATACAGAAATCACTTTGGAGGCTCAGTGGTGATCCCCAGGCAGTCCCCAGGCACTTGAAAGCCAGCCTGGATACAGGCCCTGGTTTACCTGGACCCATGGGTGGAGAAGAAGACCAGGAATCTGGGGTGCGTTGGCTCCCGCCGGGAGGGGAGGCTCAGTGGCAGTCTTCAAGCATGGGATCGCAGGCCCAGAAACAGGCCCCAAATTGCCTGGTTCTGTGGGTGGAGAATGAAAAATTCTTTTGAAAATAGTATGTCTGAAATATTTTATTTTGGGGGAGGTCCCTTGAGCTCCTCCCCCAGTGCTGACTGGCTGTTGACAAGTCTACTCTAGTGAAGGCTCAATGGATAAGCACAGTTGAATTGCATTCATGATTGAAATGACTGTTATGCCCAGAAGACAGCATTGTATAGCCCTTTCTCCTATCTGGCTCTTAAAACCTTTCTGCCCTCTCTCATACAATGTCTCATGAGTTTTAGAAGAGGTGGCATAAATTTCTTCATGATTGAACACTCGATATTCACTTATTCTCAGCATCTTTCACAGTTACCTGTATTTGCGTTCACTGCCACTCACTGCAGAGTTAAGCCTGTTTGGTTAAGGCCTCCAGCCGCATTTGTCTACGAGTATAGACTAAATAGTTTTTAAAAGACCTCTTTGAATATCTTATGAGAGCCAATTCACTTTGCCAAGAAGATGCTTCTACCGGTGCAGCAGTGGCATGAATATTTGGGGGTAACCAGCTGCCCTCTGATTGGATCTGAGGGCAGTTCCACAGCCAACACATTATTACTATCTAGAATAGACGAAGAACTAAAAACAAAAGCATCACAAAGCAAACAACCCAATACAAAAATGAGTCATAGATCTGAAGAGAGTTCTGAAAAGAAGAAATGCAAATGTCTAATAAGCATTTCACCAGCCATCAGGACAATGAGAACCCAAATCACCTTGAGTTCCATCTCACCAGGGTCAGAATGGCTGTCATTATGAAATCAAAACCAGCAAATGTTAGTGAGGGTGTTGGCGGATGGAACCCTTTCTACTGCTGTTGGGAATAATGCTATATAACCCTGGGAGTCTAGATGCTCACTCTGTAGCTAACACTAGTCGTGAACACACAGCAGTCCTCCTGCTTTGAATTCCTGAATCCCAGGATAATAAGCATCCACCATCACACATAGTCCCTTAATTTTCAAATAAGACTGACAAATTTTGGGCTGGAAATGTGGCTTAGTATTACGAACATTTACTGCTCTTGCAGAGGACCCAGAGTTCTCCACACCCCTTTCATGGCTCGTAACTTCCTGTAACTTCAGTTCCGGCAGATCCAACACCTGTTTTTTTGCCCTCCAAAGGCACCAGGCACATACATGGTACACATACATACGTGCAGATGCTCATACATAAGCATAGAAGCAAACAACCTTTTAACAAATTAGTCTTACTAATTTTTTGTTCTGAAGATTGAACATAATACAGAACCTGCAAAATGGCAAACAAATATTGTATTAATGTACTAAACAGCAACCCTAATTCTTTTTTTCTTTAAATTAGAAACAAGCTTGCTTCACATGTCAATCTCAGCTCCCTCTCCCTCCCCTCCTTCCACCAACCCCCTAGCCCCCCACCCAATCCCCACTCTGATCCCCAGGGAGGGTGAGGCCCTCCATGGGGGGATCTCCAGAATCTGTCATTTCATTCAGGGCAGGGCCTAGGTCCCCCCAACCCAATGTATCCATGAGAGAGCATCCCTCATTGTGGGATGGGCACCCAAAGTCCATTTGTATGCCAGGGATAAATATTGATCTACTACCCAAGGCCCCATAGATTGCCTAGGCCTCCTCACTGACACCCACATTCAGGGGGTCTGGATTA